ATGAGCCAGTGGTCAAGCATCTTAATTTTGATCACGTGACCACGGGGAATGCTGCAATGGTCATAAATGGGAAAAACGGTCATAAGTCACTTTTTTCAGTGGCCTTGTAACTCTGGTCACTAAATGAACTGCTGTAAATCTAGGGTTACCTGCACTTAGATCTCCTGGGCGGCAGCAGCGGCCAAAACGTTATTTTCTGATCGCTTAAGCTTGGCAGCATTCGCTTTCCCACTTTAAAAGACGAGGCCTTCTGCAAACTCCGTGGTCCTTCTGCGAGGACCGCCTGCACAAGCGGCCGCTTGAAGGGCAGCGCTTCCCCACGCCGCCTCCTTACCGCCCCAGACGAGCTCGGGTAGGCGCTTCAGACTCATCCTCGCCTTCTTTTAACCGGCGCCACGCGCTTTTTCCTCCTCTGCCCGTTTCCTGTTTGCCCGGTCCCCGAAAGCAAAGTACCGGCTGCATTGAAAGTTAAGGCGGATAGTTCCGGCCCAGTGGAAAAAGGCTCCTGCGTGCACGGAGGTTTTGCAGTCGCTCTCTGCCAGATTGACAGTCGGAAGGGGCTACTCAAACCCCTCGAAAGAGGGGCTTCGGAGCGAGTGCTCTTCTTTACCCCAGTCGTTAAATCGCTGGGAAACAAGGAGGCGAGATGCCCGTGTGTGTGTGTGCCCGGAGCAACCTAAGAAGCGACTGTGAGCCTGGCTAAAGACACTGTTCCTTGCATGATTTAAACAAGAGGACGTGTTGTTTTTCTGTCCTTCAACACCGGTGTCTGCCAAGTTCTGCGACCCTTTTTGCTGAAAAGGGAAATTGTAACGTTTGTGACTGACTCCCTTTAGCTCTGCAAGCAACAGTAAAGGCTGCAAAGACGGTTTTGTCCGTTGTCAGCAGGAGCTCCAAAATATATTAAAATACAATCTAAAGGGAGAAAAGGGAAAGAGACTATAAGGATGACTTATGACTACATAATTTTGTTTGTTTGATATCCCACCTTTATTATTTTAAAATAAGGTGGTGAATCTATGCAACACACCTTCTTTCTATTTTCCCAACAACAATCCTGTGAGGTGGGTTGGGCTGAGAGACGGGCCCAAAGTCACCCAGCTGCCTTGCATGGCTAAGACAGGAACTCGGGGTCTCCCACTTTCTAGCCTGGTGTCTTCACCCCTAGACCAAACTGGCTCTCTTACTTTATTACTTTATTATATATTCTCTTATGTAATACAATATGACAACCTCTAAGATTAATTAAATAATATCAGTACTTGAAAACTCTTAAACCATTACTGTTCACAAAACCAATATTCATATATTTCTAATTCAACATTAGTCTAACATATAACAAACCTATCAACTATAAATCATAATATAATTAAAAATCCAGAATAATTATCTAATTAAATCAGATATAATCCTCAAATGCCAAAGTCAAAACTTGCTTTGTTTTCCTTTTTCTTCTTCCAATTCCTGATAGGTTGCACTGCACATGCTCCAGCTCTTCTGTCTTCAAAGAAAAATGCACAGAATATTAAAATGATATGCTCTAGTGGCATTAAATATGAGGGCCTCCATTTTATAGAAAAACTAGAAAAAATCCTAAACTTAAGAATAAGGTAGAAATAGAAATTTCTGGCTTTCTATAAAACACGCACATTTTTATGCATATGCCCAATTGACTGAGATTCCAGCTTCCAAAATTCTACTCAGCAGCCACATGAGATCTGTAATGTATGCAGAGGGCACCAGGTTGAAAAAGTCTGATTCATAAGATATTTCAAAGTGAAAAGAATACATGCAAGCCATCTTCAGCTGGTACTGTGAATGGGGTACAGAAAATTGAAAATGTGAATTCTTGACTAAAAGGTACAGCAAGAATTTCTAAAGCGTCTAGAAAGAATTAATTTGAGTGTTTTGAGGAGCAAAAATATCTTAATCTGGTACTATAAGCATATTTATCACAATGTTCCAAATGCCTGTACGTTTTGAGTTATTTTTTGGAATTTTCTCTTTGTTCTACCACACCTCTTAAGTGGATTAGAGTGGATGTTGTCATACTAAAATAATAGAAAGCCATGATTTGTCCCCTGGGAAACAGCCTCCTCCATTTACATTTCCCCTAGAAGCAACAGTAAAAAAATAAAATGTCTTGATACACAGCTGCAGCTGGAAAATCTTTTCCATTTGCTTCCCTTTTATTTTCATATATAAACATTCCAAGATTAACCACACAATAGAAAAGTAAATTATTGGCAATCATGTAGACCTAGATTTACAACCACTATGGAGTGCAAATTTTCTGTTGCTAAGTGTTATAGTTGTTCAATTAATTTTGCTCCATTTTACGACATTCCTTGCCACCATTGCTAACTGAATTACTGCTGTTCTTAAGTTAATAACACGAGTGTGAAGTGAATTTGGCTTCCTTGTTGAGTTTGTCAGAAGGTTGCAAAAGTGATCACGTGACCCCAGGACACTGCAACTATCAAAACCACATGCCAGTTGCCAAGCATTTGAATTTTGATCATGTGACCATGAAGATGCAGTGGTTGTAAGTGTGAAAAACAGTCATAAGTCACTTTTTCAGAGCTGTTGTAACTTCAGTCACTAAATGAACTGTTGTTAAGGACTACTGATAGTGTATAACAGAACCAGAAATGTAGATATTGTCCACTTTTGCAGTGGCAATGGGAAGAATCACTTTTAATTTTCTTTTTCATTTCTGAGCAATTTTGCCCAAATATTGTTTTTATTTATTATGTACTATCAAGTCATTTTTCAACTCCCAACAACCACATAGATTTTTTTTCATGACAAAAATGTCCCTAACCTGGTCCTTCAACTCTTGCAATAGCATTCATATAGTCACTGTAACTGAGTCCATCCAGCTTGTTACTGGCCGTCCTCTTTTCTTTCCTTCCACTTTTCCAAAATTAGAGCCTTCTTTGCATAATGTATCTGAAGTAGGATAAACTTAAATATGAGCCAGCAGTGTGCTGAAGCTGCCAAAAAAGCCAACACAGTGCTAGGTTGCATTAACAGAGGGATAGAATCAAGATCATGTGAAGTGTTAATACCACTTTACAATGCCTTGGTAAGGCCACACTTGGAATACTGCATCCAGTTTTGGTCACCACGATGTAAAAATGATGCTGAGACTCTAGAAAGAGTGCAGAGAAGAGCAACAAAGATGATCAGGGGACTGGAGGCTAAAACATATAAGGAATGGTTGCTGGAATTGGGTATGTCTAGTTCAATGATGGCGAACCTTTTAGAGACTGAGTGCTCAAACTGCAACCCAAAACCCACTTATGCATTGTCAAGTGCTGGGTGGGTGTGGCCCATTGGGTGGGTGTGGCTGCTATGGTACGGCAGCCTGGGTGGGACTAAAAAGTTCAATCAATCAATTCCAACTTTGCAAGATGTTTTTTTTCCGCAAGAAGTTGAAATTGACTGATTGAACCTTTTTTTTTTTTTTTTGCACATGGCGGCGGAGGCCTAAAGCGAAAAGGTTTTATAAAACCCAGCTGAAGGCCTAGGACTGGGGCGACAGTGACATGCCCACAGAGAGGGCTCTGAGTGCCACCTCTGGCACCCGTGCCATAGGTTTGCCACCACTGGTCTAGTTTAATGAAGAGAAGGATGAGGGGGGACATGATAGCAGTGTTCCAATAGCTCAGGGGTTGCCACAAGGAAGAGGGAGTCAAGCTATTCTCCAAAGTGCCTGAAGGCAGGACAAGAAGCAATGGATGGAAACTGACCGAAGAGAGAAGCAACCTAGAACTAAGGAGAAATTTCCTGACAGAACAATTAATCAGTGGAGAAACCTGACTCCAGAAGCTCTGAATGCTCCAACACTGGAAGATTTTAAGAAGAGACTGGACAGCCATTTGTCTGAAATGGTATAGGGTTTCCTGCCTGAGCAGGGGGTTGGACTAGATGACCTCCAAGGTCCCTTTCATCATATCATCATTTTATTATTATTAACAACAACAACAACAACCAGGAAGAGAAGAAGTGCTCAAGACTATGAGATAGACTGGGGAAAAAAAGATTCCATCGGTTGATCCAGCATTGACAACTTTTAGCCGTCAACAGAGTTTAAGGTTATTCCTGTGTTAGTTGTAATGTTAGTTCTCAAAAAAAAATTAGAATGAGCTGGTTTGTGGGGACTCTGTACTGTATAATCCTGACTTTTCATGCCTACCCTGAGTTGATATAGTATCCAATTTTGTAATAAATTGCTGTTACAATTACTGGATGATTTATAATGGCTAATGTAGAAATGCAGTTAGCTGCCTTCCCATGTTGAATTATGCTAATATTTTTCATTAATTTGGTTGCCCTGAAATGTCTCAGCACACTTGACAAATGCTTTTCTTACTGTAAAGTTTCAAGTCTGAGCTACAAATAACCTCTTCTATGAATATTTATTGTACTAAAGAAAAGAGTCCTAATTCTGCCTTAGGCACAAAGCCAGCTAGATTCGGGTTTCTCTCCGTTTCTGATCACTTCCAAAAAACCTTGCCAGGAAAACTGCTAGGATCAGACCAGGTATGTAGTAATCAGGAGTCCAAAACTGACCAGGAGGTCCTTTTTTTTTTAATCTCTGCGATAACAATACAGGTAGTCCTCAACCTATGACCACAACTGAGCCCAAAATTTATCTTGCTCAGTGAGAAATGTATTAAGTGAGTCTTGCCCCATTTTACGTTTCTTGCCACATTTGTTAAGTGACTCACTGCAGTGGTTCAATTAGTAACACGGTTGTTAAATGAATCTGGTTTCCCCATTGACACTGCTTGTCAGAAGATCGCAAAAGGGGATCCCCGGGAGATTGCAATTATCAGAAATGTGAGTCAGTTGCCAAGCTTGTCAACATACATCACGTGACCATGGGGATCCCTAACCCTAACAGTCACTAAGCAAACTGTTGTAAGTCGAGGACTACCCGTAGTTTTAAGCAGTATGAAATGAACACGCGAAACAGCATAGCAGGAGGGAGAAGAAGAACTTCATCCATGTCATTTCTGCTCTGTTTTGGAGCCCGCCACAGCGATTTCCGCCAAGCCGCCAGTTTTTGTTTTGTTTCTCGCATTGCTCCGCCCGCCGGAAAAAGCGGGCGTGGCCAGCGCGGGGTGAATAAGCTGCGTTTCCCCGGGCGCCTTCGGGGGATGGTAGCCATGGCTTCTGCTCTAGAGGAGCTGATGCCCGTGTGGCTGACAGCGAAGGAATTGGAGTGCTCCATTTGCCTGAGTCTGCTCAGCAACCCGGGCACGGTGCAATGCGGCCACAGCTTCTGCCTGAGCTGCATCCAGGAGTGGCTGAACGGCAAGCAGGGAAACTGCCAATGTCCCTTGTGCAAGTGCTGTCTGAGCGACAAGTTGCCCGAACGCACCGTCTTGCTGGACTTGGTCCTGAAAAAATATAACTGCCTAGCCTCCAGCGACCCGCTTCCTACGGGAACCTCGCGCCTGGCAGCGGAGCCGGCCTTCCCAGACGGGCCGAGATGCAAGCGGGACTTCTCCCCTGCCAGGCCCGCTTTTCAGGTGAGAAGGAATGGTCTCCGGCGGCTCTAATATTGGGGTCTAGCCCTGATTCTTTGGGAGGTTGACCAGCTGGGTGGCTTTCGGTCCTGTCATTGTTATTCTGAGCTTCTAGACAAGCCGATCTCTCCCTTCTATCTGCAGTATGAAATGCAGATTTAGATTGGTTAAGAAAGGGTTATTATGTATTATATCCATGACACATTTTAAATCTCTGTGTATGTAATACGTGTGTGTGTGTATGTGTGTGTGTGTATAAATACACACACACACACACACACACACATGCATTCTAAAGAAAGAGCTTGCTGTTGACAGGATGGGCATTTTTGGAGAAAAGGTTACTACTCCTAGACTGTAATAGGTTTTGTTGCATTAACCAGTGTGAACAGGGCTTAAATTTGAACCTGGGATCTTCTGCATTGATGACCCCTGAAGTGTGCTTGAAAACCTTCATTCTTGGTAAATGAATAATCAAAAAGGAAATGATTAGTTATTCCCATCTGTCTTCTGTTCACCAGCCAGGCTATTTGTTTCCAGCTTTTTTTAATTGTTTATGTCTTTTTTTTCATGGGTCTAAAGGAGGGGTCCTCAACCTTGGCAAGTTTAAGACTTGTGGACTTCAATTCCCAGAATTCCTGTCTGAGGAATTCTGGGAATTGAAGTCCACAAGTCTTAAAGTTGCCAAGGTTGGAGACCCCTGCTCTAAAGTATCAACTGTCAAAACTGTTATTCGATTCAGGCCCTTATAAAGAGGCTTATTTATGATGCAAAAAGTTTTTAGCTTTGAGGGATTCAAATACTTTAGCTGGATATATGCATGGTACTGAGCCATAATGCAGTTTTAGCTTGGCTAACTGTAGTCTACAAGCCATGATTTATAATCACTGTGTGTGAACATTTGTCAATTTTTGCTTAATTTAATATTCTGTGTGAATCTACAGCTGTTATGTATCAGTGATAATTTTTTTTAAAAGTCCATTTTTTGCTTTTTCCCAAGTAGAATCCTAAAATGTGTGTGTGGGGGGGGGGTTGCATGTAAGTTGCATTTTTCTTGTTAACATTCATCAGAAAACAATGTGATCAAGAAATGTGAGACTTTTACTGTTGCTGACACAAAAACTTTTGATAAGGAACTGAAGGAACTGGAAAGATAATGCACAGATCCCTAAAATATTTATTTGTTTGTTTGTTTATTTATTTAATATACTTTATTCCTAAAGGAAACAATGGTTTGTGATATGCTGATATGAATCTAATTTAAATAGCTAAGGTTAGACTTGACCAGCTAATGACAGAAAGGGAAAAAAATGAACAGTCTAGATCTCGAGGTGCTTGGTGAAAAATTGTGCAGTGTGTGCCTTGTTTTCTTAAAAGTTATATTTAAGAATCTAAAATCAGTAAAACATTTTCTCTTGTCGGAGTGGAGTGAGTCCAAACTGATCATGTTTTTAACTCTGCCCTGGGGATTCTGGACCACTTCCTCTTGTGCCACTTCACAGCCTGGCAGTTTACTAGATAGGACCTGCCCACCCGCAGGTTGGTCCCCAGCCCCAACCTGCGACATTGAACAAAAATCCTCTCACACTGAACTAATCCTGTCACACTCAGAGAAATTTGTCACAGTGAGAGTGTCAGCACGCTGATGCAACCACACCAGGAAATTCTGTGGTCCCTGCTATTGGCAATTGCAAATGTAGTCGGCATGACAAGCAACAGTAGGATACATGAACAGGAAATACAAGCTGGGCTTGTGCAAAGAACCCAAGCAGCAGCAATTTCATTAACATTTAGACATACCCAAATCAAAGAATATACTGTATTTTATAGATAGATAGATAGATAGATAGATAGATAGATAGATAGATAGATAGATAGATAGATACAATGAAGGGTAAACAAACATATCAGAGGTTTACATTGAGCTCTATGGAGCTCTGTGGTTGAAGTTGTCTGGGAGAGTATTGTAAACTACACCTTTCTCAGCTCCGGAGGGATGGTGGCACAAAGCCCTGCATTAGGTATGGAATAGGTGTGACAAACTGTTTCTAACTGAGTCAGGGCTGTAGGTATGTAAATGAGATGGTTGAGGCCTGGCAGAAAAAGCAAGGCTGAGTTCCACAGTCTGATTGCAACTGATCCACTCTGAACTCTCCAATTAGAGACACTTTAGTATTATGTATATCTGCAACATATTGAATACAGATGACTACATCAGCCAGTTATTGGCTGAAATGCAAACACCAGGGCCACTCCAGAGTGTTGTTCACAACATCTTGGATGAGCTCCCGTTCCGGGAGCAGTGAAGCAACACCTGCTTAAGCCATTGCTTCCGAGGAAATACTGGCCTTCTGTTCCCCCACATATAAAGGAGAGAAGGCAGGCCATTCAGGAGGTGTTTGACCCACATCCCCATCTCCAAAATGTTGAACTACCCAGGACTATCAGAAGGAGATCCTGGATCTGTTTGATCCAGAAGAAAAACAAAAAGCTTGTCTTCAGGCAGATGCCGTGGGTAATAGGGAACTAACTTCAGGGTTGGCAGATGGACGTGTATCAAGGCCACCCCCTCAATGTAGACACAAGAAAAGTTTTCTTGGAAGGGTGTGCATCCTGCAGATCTTCTAGAAATTCACAGAAGAAATTCAGGCTCTCAGAGGAGTCAAGTTCCAGCTGACACTAAAGGTTGCTCTCCAGAAAGACAGCCCTGATGGCACTGAGGAGTACCCAGATTCTGTGCTTCATTACAAGTGGGAGTCTGTCCTGCAGACCAGTTAGAGCAACATGGCACTAGACAAGGCATTTAACCCCCCCTCCCCCATTCAGGAGATGCTAGAGAAATGGACCAAGAGAAGCTCCGGCTTCTGGGTAGAACCCCCTCATTTCAACCCTGAACTACAAATATTCTCCTTTATTAGAGTGCAGACACTGTGCCTGGACATTGCCCAGTATTTATTTCCGTTTTTCTTTCGGTTACTAAATTGTTCCCTTCCGCATTTCCTGAACTGCTTTTCTGCATTTTCTGGAAGAGCAGTCCTTAAAGGAAAAGGAGACCGTTGTGAGCTTCGGAAGCAACATACAAAGAGAGAGAATTGCCAGCTGAAGCCACCTACTGGTACTTGCTCTTAGCTGATCTCAGAAAACTCAGCATGGGCTGGGCCTGGTTAGTACATGGGTAGGAAATTATCACAACATTCCAAGCTTATGGTCTAGACTGGGAATTGAAACCATTTCTGGAAGAATGGTGTGCCCAGAAACTACATAGATGTGATTGTGAAGTCAGCAGGAGTCGAGGGTGAGTCAGACTCGACTTTGATCCAAAAAGTACTGTATTTACTTTTAAGTAGTAAAGAGGATGCTGGATTGTGAGAGGAGCTGGCTTAGCTCTCAAACTGTTGAAACTTTTTGGTGCCAATTGCAGAGGCAAAAATTTAAATGTTGACAACGTGCAGATTTCTGTATAGTGGTCTTTCATCAGCAACAGTCTCTTTCCTGATTTTAGGATTATATATTTAAAACCAGAAGCTCCGTTTCAACAGCCTTCAGTTTTATGAAGAAGTACATTTGTGATCAAGAGGAAAAGGTACTAAGGATTATTGAGGAAGAATGGAAAATAGCTCAACAAATAAGAGACTCCACTGATAAGCAGGTCAATGGAAAAATTCACGGAATTTTGGATTTGCAGAATAAATCTGAAGAAACGATGAAGGTAAATGTTGCATTAACAGCGCCATAAATATTACATTTTATTTCTTAATGTATCCTATTTATATGGCTGCTCACTTACAAAACTGTAAACATATTTAAAACTATTTCTGAACAAACAAGAGTAGGATCTGGGTGCTAATGTGCTTTGGTAATCTGGTGGTTAAAGCATTAGGCTAGAAACCAGGAGACTGTGAATTCTAGCCCTACCTTAGGCATAAAAGTTGTCTGTGGGCCAGTCACTCTTTCTCAGCCCACAATGTTGGATTCTGGTGACTAGCCAGTTTGTCAGTTCCTGTCACAACCAATGGATCAATGCTCAGTCCAAAAAACAAAAACAACAACAAAAAAAGAAAGAAACCAGCAGTTTCCGCACTTGCAGAGAAACACAAGATGTTCAATTACTCAGATTCTAATTATGTAGTTGATAGAAATACACTGAAATGTTGCCGATATCTTACTTAATTCTGGATTTATTTTTAATTGTTAGAATACCTCATCAGGACAAGAAGCTTATATTGGCGATCCCATTCAGAAGATCAGAAATATTGCCAGTGCTGTTGAAGAATTAAGGAGACAGCTAGAAGCATCAAGTTTGAATTTCCCAGGGCAGCCATATCAGAGTGGGTAGAATTTTCATTGCCCTCTTACAATAAAAGTAAACATGTGCTGACCTATTACAAAGCTTTGAATATTGCTTGGGAAACAAAAACAAGTATGATCTGGCATTGTTATTCTAATCTGATGCTAAACACGGGAAAGATGGCTTGGTTGGATCAGATCTTACCATGACTGGTGTTCTGTAGCTACCAAATTCTTCTGGGTAGTGAATAAGTAAGGCATGATGGAAATAAAACCATAGGGCTAGAAGGGACTTTTGGAGGTCTAATTCAACTCTCTGCTCAAGGCAGGAGTCCTCATACCTTCATTCTGTGTAAGTCTTTGAATATGCCACTGTTTTTGCTTTTTGGTAATTGAATCTTATTTTGTTCCTTCCTCTGATCCTTTATATCCATGGCTATTTAACAGACCTTACTTGTAAGCATCCCTAAAGTGCGTTCTTTTTCTGTTGTTTGGCAGGCATGTTTTGAACTCTTTGGCAATATGGACATGGAATTACTTAGATAGAGTTTTACAATGATTATTATAGGTACTAGAAGTTTTATAAATAAAAGGATTTTTCTGCTCAGCAATGAATAGTACCTTCCATTATGATATACAAGTATTTTAAAAAACTTATTCTTGTAATATTTCAAAGAAATAGGTCCATGTGCATTTCCTATAGGAAGAAAAAAATGTATTTAAATTTCAATTGGTCAGTGACAAATCAGCACAGATTCGATCCGATTGCCAGCTGTAGACTTTATCCTCAGCATACAGAGGTGCTGGCCTATATACTGTACTCAGTTTGGGGAATTCCAATGCATGATACATTCTTTTTTGCTGAATGTTTTTCAATGTCTTATCCTTGCAATAGGAATTAGCAGCTGCCAATTTGAGATGTGTCTCCTTAAGCAATAGTAGCTATATTTCCAAAACTCTTTTTTAGATAAAATAAATGGCTCTGGATGCTATTGAATCCCCTCATTCCTTATGCAACCTGTGGACAGTGATAAGCTCCTCCATTCAATTTGAATTGAAAACATATGGGCGGTCCTATTTCCTGTGAAAATGAGCTTTCTCTGAAATGCTTATCAATCTGACATGGGAACCTCCTAAAATGGATCAGGGAGATCTCCTTAAGCTGAGATTGAGGCTGAAATATAAGCAGCTACTTGTGTTCTGCTAGACCAGTGGTTCTCAACCTTTTTAATGCCGCGACCCCCAACCGGTCGTAAGTCAAGGACTACTCAACCGGTCATAAGTCAAGGACTACTCAACTGATGCAGCACCGTTTGCAGAATGGGACTTTTGGCGGGCTCAGCAGGGCAGAGACAGCCTGGACAATTCCTATTGGCTTTTGAAAGCCAATAGAATTAGACTCTATTCAAGAGAGTCTATTCTATTGGCTTTCAAAAGCCAATAGAATAAAAGGGAGTAGCACTGCTAAGGAAAAGGGGAAAAAATGGCGGACTGCGTTGTTTGGCGACCCCCGTGAAATGGTCATTCGACCCCAAATGGGGTCCCGACCCACAGGTTGAGAACCACTGTGCTAGACCAATTTCTAGTCTCTGTGATTTAACAGCTTGGCTTTTTTTTTTTTTTTTTGCTGTAGACGTAGAGCCTTCTCCAGGAACCAGCAATAGTAATGAAACAGCAGCTGATGGAGCAGAAGAAACATTCCTTTCTTGTGATTCCTGTAGGCAGTTTATTAATTTTAATTGATTTTGGGGAGAGCATACTCATTATTCCACTCGGGAATCATTTCCCACATTCCACTGGTTATCCACGTTCTGACGTTCTGACATTCCTGGTCTAGTTGCTAGTTCTTTTTTTAAGAGTACAAATTGTTACAAATTAAAGTACAGATTTGTGTAGTTTTTCACAATTAGCTCAAATCATGATTACAGGAATAACATGGGATTAATATACAGGAATCAATATACGCATTAAGTATCATTTAGAGTAAAAATAATAGAATATTCTTAATTTCTTACTTGTCTGGTCATCTTCTGATTGTTACATTGTTACATTTTATATGAGAAGGAGAAATATTGTGAGCATTCATGGCTGGCCTGGGAACACCATGCTTATACTGATTCAAGGTACCAGTGCAGGTGGTACCTTGCTCAGTAGTAGTAACTGTGAGAGGGATCTTGGAGTCCTAGTGGACAGTTACTTAAATATGAGCCAGCAGTGTGCTCCAGCTGCCAAAAAAGCTAACGTAGTCCTAGGCTGCATTAACAGAGGGGTAGAATTAAGATCACATGAAGTGTTAATACCACTTTACACACGCCTTGGTAAGGCCACCTTTGGCATACTGCATTCAGTTTTGGTCACCACACCACGATAAAAAAGATGTTGAGACTCTAGAAAAAGTGCAGAGAAGAACAACAAAGATGATCAGGGGACTGGCGGCTAAAACATATACATTTCTGGAATAGCTAATTAGCTGGCAGAATGTCCCTGTTATCAGTTCAGCATCTCTTTCTTGAAACCAATTTAATTAAAATTTAACAAGAAAATTTTCTCTGTATAATTATTTATTTATTTTTTTCCCTTGATCAGCCCTGTCCCAAGATTCAGTTCAGGAAGCAAGCAGCTCTTCATCAGCACTGCCATCTACTAGGGGCAGAGAATTGCCAATGATTTCAAATAGATTTTCTCAGTGTAAGTATATACATTGCTGCCTAGACAAAATAGTGGTATTAAGCTATATAGAAATTCAAACATTCAAACTTTTCCTTTCAAAAATAATTTGAAAAAGAGCTGTTGTTGGTATTTACATTTTTTTTCTTGAAACAGATGATTTATATTCCATTTAAGAGTGCAGCATTTTATTTTGCTGTTTTTAGAAGCATGTCTATATAGTATTTATTAAATAAATGTACTAGTATTAATGAAACAAAATGAGGTTAGCTTTTAAAGGTTTTGAGCAATAATTTATTTGGTTATGTAACACACGGCATTGGTAGGTTTTCGAAAACTGTGTGGACTATTATAACAATTTTTTTTTCTCTGCTGGAGAAATATCAGATGGCTATTTTGAGACTGCAAAATATCTATATTTCTAATATAGAATCTTTCCCAGAACTGTCAACAGATAGATATGGACAAGTGCATTGGCTTTCCTCCCCTCCTCCCACAAAATTCCAATTTTTCCTGAAATAAGCTGAAACTGACGCACATCAATGGCATCCATTGTTCTGTTATTCCGTACACCATGGTGGCATTTCTTATCCTTAGCAACTGTAAGATATGTGGACTTCAATTCCCAGAATTCTGCAACTGGCATGAGTTGAAGTTCCATATCTTAAAGTTGCTAAGGTTGAGAAACACTGGTCCATAGAGCAGACACTTTGCTTTTGATAGATGACTTAACATATTCTTGTAAATTATAAAATCAAATGAAAATGCCATGGACAACCAACAATTCCATTACCCCAGCTATGCATCTAGTGTTTTATTCCTTATTGATTCTCCTTGTACGTATAGGATTTATTTATTTTACTGAAAACAAAACTACCGGATTCTGACTAATGCTCTGTCTCTTTTAATACACTGACACAAATGGATGTTTTGTCTGCTAAACCCTTTAACGATCCTAATTGTAATCAAAAAGCATACCTCTCCTCCGCATCATCAGAAGAAAAGGGAAGACTTAAACCTTAATGTATTACCAAAGAAGACCTAGGCCAGGGGTAGGCAACCTTGGCTCTTTTATGACTCGTGGACTTCAACTCCCAGAATTCCTGAGCCAGCCATGCTGAGGGGAAAGGGAGAGGTTTCCATGCTTAGCCATTCTGGCTCAGGAATTCTGGGAGTTGAAGTCCACAAGTCATAAAAGAGCCAAGGTTGCCTACCCCTGATCTAGGCAGTGCTCCAAGCAAAAGATTCAACTCAGTGGTGTGAGGAGCCATAGAGAGGATCGTAGTAAATCTATTCAGAAGTCACTAGGACAGCAGGTTCAGAAGCAAGTTTTGAGTCCAACGAGTCAGGAAGGAATACAGGTAGTCCTCAGCTTACGACCACAATTTAGTCCAAAATTTCTGTTGCTAGATAAGACAGTTAAGTGAATTTTTCTCCATTTTACAACCTTTCTTGCTACAGTTGTTAAATGAATCACTGTCAGAAGGTCGCAAAAGGTGATCTCATGACCCTGGGACACTGAAAGTGTCTTAAATACGAGTCAGTTGCCAAGTGTCTGAATTTTGATCACATGACCATGGGGATGCTGCAGTGGTTGTAGGTGTGAAAAATGGTCATAAGTCATTTTTCTCAGTGCCATTCTAACTTGGTCACTAAACGAACTGTTGCAAGTCGAGGACTGCCTGTAGTCTTCCTATGCAGTCAGTTTCCTGATCTGGTCTTCCCTATATGGCTGATATCAATCCTAGGGAAGTGAGGTTATGAGAAAGAGACTCAGACTGGCTCCTCCTGACTCCCTGGGGATATGAGGGAGAAATGGGAAAACACAAGCAGACTTGCAACATGTTTCTGGATTTTAATGACTTCTGGATAATTCCTTCAGGGTCATCCCCAAGGCCCCCTATACAGTGGCCATGGAACCTGTGGAATTTGGGAAGCTGTAGTCCACACATTTGAAAGACCCCAGGTTAGGAAAGACTAGAATGTTTGTTAAGTCCATGTCTTCTAATGCCCATAAAAGCCATGGTGGCACAATAGTTAGAATGGAATATTGCAGGTTGACTGATTGCTCACTGCCAGGAGTTCAATCCTTACCAGTTTAAGGTTGACTCAGCCTTCCAGCCTTCTAAGGTTGGTAAATTGAGGACCCAGATTGTTGGGAGCAATATGCTGACTTCTAAACCGCTTAGAGAGAGGCTGTAAAGCACTGTGATGACATATATAAGTCTAAGTGCTATTGCTATTGCTATTTTCTCAAGAAAAAAAAATGCAAATGCGCCGACAGGGATAATTGAATATATACCCAGGCTATTCGCAAAACTGTGTTGGATATAACAATCTTGCTTCACCATATGATCAGGCAGTCTTAATCTCCTATAAACTTGCTTATTGCATGTTGTGCTATTATTTTATTTATGTACTCGGCCCAATTTGGTCAATAAATTGAATGGCTTTTGCACTGTGAACATATCTCCCTGATTTAAGGCTCCTAGATCTGTATGTTTTTAATTTTATTTCATTTAGGGACGTCCATCATTACATTCGACGATGAAAGACTTGGTTGCAATCTTGAGCTCACGGGCAATAAAAGGAAAGTGAGAGTGTCTCGTAATCGCAAAAAATATCAATGTTCCTCTAAGAGATTCCGCAGCAGTCAGGTGCTGGGCTCTCCAGGTTTCTCTGAAGGCTGCCATTACTGGGAAATAAACACCGAGGAATCTTCGACATGGGCCATTGGTGTTGCCAGTGAGGATATTGGCAGAAACGACCGACTAGGGAGAAATGAATTATCCTGGTGCATAGAATGCAATGCTCAAAGTATCTCCGCATGGCACAACAGTCAAGAAACCAAAATTGACAAAGGCAGACCTTTGCGGGTTGGAGTTTACCTTGACTTCCCAACCAAAAGTTTGTCTTTTTATTCTCTTGCTGATGAAGAAACATGCTTACACAAGTTTGAAATCAATGCAGCAAATCCAGTTTACCCTGCTTTTTGGATTTATGGTTTAAAACTTGGTGAGTGTTTAAGTATAAATGAGTATAAATAGGAATTAACTTTATGCCACAATTCTATATTGCCTTAATAAGCTTTTGCCCTCTAAAGAATCTTTAAGATTCTAATATTTTGTTGTTTGAATTATGAAGTGCTTCATGTGTTCCTGCTTTCTTTTTTTTTTTTTTACAATATTTATTAGTTTTCATATTTTACAATTAAACATTTAAAAATCAGCGTGGTGACTGGATAATCAATAATAACATAGAATAGATAAATCTTTGGCACACAAATCTCAAGTTACAACATCAAATATTTCCTCTCTTTTTCCCTTAATTTTTAGCTTTTACATATCTTAATTGTGTTTGCATTCAATCCTTATACTGTATACAATCAATGTCCTGTTATTGCTTTTTTCCCAGGCTTTAATTTCCCATCAATATTCAAATTAACATTTGGTATTTATAATTTCCAAGCTTTAGATTTCCCTTATCTCAACTTCTACGTTTTCCCTTTTCATAACAAAATCTAATACACTTCTTATCTATTTGCATATAATCTTATTCTATTTTCTAAACGTTATCTATTTTCCACCATATTAAACCAAAAGTCTGTTAGTCTTATTACACATCTTACCTATTCAATTATGTTACTTTATTTTCTAAAAATTATCTATTTTCTACTTTCTGAATAGGAATGAGTCTTACACAAGTTTCAAAAGAGGTTTCGGGTTTGGGATGTATAAATATTGTTACCTATCATAATCCCTGCATAGCCAGTTACAGATTTTGATGTACAATTGTTCATTCAACAACTATTCAAAGTTATGATAGTGCTGAGCAGAGGATTTATAACTGGTGCCCAAAGTTACTGTAGCAGCACCCCTATGGTCATGTGATCATAAACTGGACATTTCGAAATCCGTTTGAGCTAATGACTACTTGCCAAGCATCCCATGATCATGTGATTGCCATATGCAACCTTCCCAGCCAATTTCACCACAGTCAATGGGGAAACCAGCAGGGAAGGTTGCAAGTCATTGGGATAAGTCTCCCCATCCATGCTTCCTCCCCACCCTTCTGGGCTTGCGTCACTTGCACATCTCCATGAATCCTCCCTGACCTATGATGCACCTCCATGCACTCTCCTCAACCACATGGCACCTCTTGCACACCCATCCCAAGATGTGTTGCACTCCCGTGCATCCTTCCTGACTCTTGTCGCACCACTGTGCACCCTCCCCGACCTGCATCACAACCTGCACACCCTTCCTGACACTGCACGCCATATCCTTTCTGACCCTCACCACCAGGCACACTCCCCAATCCACCTGGCACATCTTGCGTACCTACCCCATCCTATATTGCACCTCATACATCCCTGCTCATCTGACCCTCACTGTACTCCTGCAGCACCCTATGTCCCAGTGCCTCAGATAGAAAGTCCATACAGAGAGTGGTAAGGACAGCCGAGAACATCATAGGAAGCTCGTTTCCTGGTATTCAGGATGCTGCTTCTAAGCGCTATGTGCTTAGAGCTGAAAGCATTGTCAGAGACCCCGCACACCCACTTTATGTTCCGTTTCTGTTGCTCCCCTCTGGGAGGAGATTTTGAAGTATTTATAGCAGGACTACCCGATTCTGTAATAGCTTTGTTCCCTATGCCAGGGCTTTTCAACCTTTTCACCCATTGTACCACTTTTAGGATATGGCAACATCTGAGTACCACCGGTCACCTAGCAAGGTGTCAAAAACTTGACCAAAAAAAAAAAAAGGAAAAAAGTAATAAAGTACAAGTAGTCCTTGACTTACAACAGTTCGCTTAGTGACTGTTCAAAGTTACAATGGCACTGAAAAAAGTGCCCCCCCAAGCCACAGCTGAGCAAGACACCTGCCTGCCCACCCGACGGCGCTCTTCCTCCTGTTTCATTGTTGTGAGCATTTCTGTTGAAGATTGGCAGCAGGGGTGGGGTAGGGGTGTTTGGTTTTTATTCCCGTTTGCTGGGACACTGTGACCGTCATAAATATGAATCAGTTGTTAAACATCTGAATGTAAATCACAAGACCCTGGAGATGCTGCAACATTCCAGCTGATCGGTGCTTCTTCTGAGCTCAGCAGAAGCACCAGGATCAGTGCTGCCTTCCAATGATTGGTGCTTCTTCAGGGCTCAGCAGAAGCACCAAGATCAGCACCAAGCTCCAGCTGGAGCCTGGCGCTGATCCTGGTGCTTCCACTGAGCCCTGACAGTCCCGAAGAAGCGCTGATCAGCTAGAAAGCGGCACTGTTCCTGGCGCTTTTGCTGAGCCCTGATAGCCCTGTAGCTCCAGCCATCCCTTGCTCAGGCTTGTGTGATGCTGCCACCTGTTCAGCTCATTCCCCTCCCCCGCTACCACTTTTCTAGGATGGTCGCGTACCACCTGCCAGGTGCCAGTGTACCACAGGTGGTACCTGTACCACTGGTTGAAAAGCCCTGCCCTATGCCATCCATCTGGTAAAATCGCAAGATCCGTTTTTCTCACCATGTAAATGTATACACAACCCAAACTAGACTGTTGTTTCTCTGTGTCATATAATATATATAGGTATATGCATAATTCTGTATTTATTTATTTTTGTCATATTTATGTAGTGTATATCGGAGATGGTGACCCTTTGAGAGCTGAATGCAACGAAATTTCATTTTAATATATGTCGATTAGTGTACATTCAAAGTGACAATAAAGTTATTATTCTATTCTATTCTATTCTATTCTATTCTATTCTATTCTATTCTATTCCCCTTCTCTTTGCCAGCTTCCTTGCGAAACTGAGAAACTACAGTTTAAAAAAAAACCATTAGAGAGTTCTATAACTAAAGGATTGAAAAAAGAAATCTGCTCTTTTTACTTTTTTTACACAGCTATTCTGAGAGCAAGACACCTAACAATCAGTGAAAGAACTTCTTAAGTAACCTGGTTTTAATGCTATTCAGTGCTGGAAGCTGATTCCCCCCTTTTTTGGCATCTATGGGTCTAATTTAATTAAAAAAAACTAAAACTTTTTTTTAATTAAAATCAACTCTGATGGGGTTCCTGGAAGGCCAGAGGATGAGTCCATTGGCAATATATTGCTTCCTACTTTAAATTCCATTTGAAATAGACAATAATCTGTCCATAACAACAGTTATTGATATTTTTTTTCCTAAGCTGAAGAAGTATCCTATTGCTTGAAACTGAACACCAAGTCCATAGTATACTGGTCTAATCTATGTTGAGTTTAATACTGAGACCTGGCCCTGTTTTGGCATCCTGATAGTTTGAGACTAGGATGAAGCTGCCATACCTAAAAATAAAGCAGGTACTTCAGCAGCGTGGACAAAAGCCAGGGAAAAAATCCCTTCAGGAGATAGATAAGAAGGAAGGAGGTCATTAAGGAAACAAAGGAAAAATGTTATCTAAACCAGACTAAAGAGTTGGGCTTGAACACACAGGAAAACCTCTCCCCAATCCCATCAACCACTACCAGTCTTGTCAATGAAGAGTCTCATTCATCCAAATAGAGTTGTCTGAAAGTTGAGTAATGGCACCTGGACTTTTTTTCTTCCCTTGTTGGTTTGAAACATTTCACTGCTTATCCAAGCAGCTTCTTCAGCGTATAACCTGGATAAGAGGCAGAGTTTGACTGCCATCCAAGCAAATAGCAATTGATTCCCATGATTTCCATGAATTGGCCCAGCACCTTTTTGAAATCAGCCAAGCTGGTAGCTTGTGGTACTGAATCCCAAAATTGAATTACAGATAGTCCTCAATTTATGGTCATACTGGAGCCTGCCCATTACAGTTGTAAGTCATAACAGTCATAGGCTGGGTCACCATCTGACCAACCCAATTTTGCAACCTTTTTTGCAGTGATTTTTAAACGAATGTCACAGTTGTTAAATGAACCCAGTTTTGTTGAAAGCAGGAAGTAAATTTCTGAGATAAACTTGGGTATTCCACTAATCAAAACAATTCCAAATAACCTATAAATACTTAAGAAAGAATAGAACCACAGGATCGCAGTAGTTACATCCCTCCATTGTGAGAAATGTCTATTCACACTTACTGTTTTTTTATTTTTTAGTCAATTGTTTTTCCACAAGAAGTTCTGCCATTTTATTCTATGACTGTTGAACTTGCTGAGAAGTTTTTGAAGAGGGACTTGAAAATCTTAGACTTGAAAATCTAAGTGGATGATGTCTACTGGCTCAGTCCTATCCTCATTTTTTTTAACATTCTTAAAACACCTTTTCTTACCAAAGCTATGTTGCGCATCCTTTCACATTTTATCTAACACTTCACTATCTTAACTATCTTAACAGATGTTAAGCTTACAGGCATATAATTTCCAGGATCTCCCCATGAGCTCTTCTTAAAAATTGTTTACCCTCTCCGTATAATCAAATTTCAGAATACTGTAAATAGGTAAGTCCAGGTTGATAATCTTAGATGATGTTATTTATAAAGGACATTCTTCCATTAAATGATCTGACTTTTACCAACTCCTTCAAGGCCTACAGATCTGCCATCAGGATTGCAATATGATCAAAGACAGACCAAAAGAAGAAAGAGCATCACTATGTACTGTCTTCTGTTTGAACACACAACTTTGTAGAGGCATCTTTATAAATTGAGATTCTGCCCAAATTAGTTTTGGGATAATGTACTAGGCAAATACATATTTCCACCTTTCAATATCTTCTTGTTTTGAGATACATAATTGGAAGAACAAGGCTATTAGATATTTTGAGAAGTCCATAAAAAATGATTTAGATGACCTTACTTGAAAGCTGTAATGGATAGCTTGGAAGTTAAAATAAATAGCACTCAAGTTCTTGTTCTTTTTTTTTTTTTTTTGCCTGCCAGTGAGCTTCATGCACCAATTGATTTATATCTGATGGTTTAGGTCAGTGATGGCGAACCTTTTAGAGACTGAGTGCCCAAACTGCAACCCAAAACCCACTTATGCATCGTCGGGTGCCGGGTGGGTGTAGCCCATTGGGTGAGCGTGGCTGCAGTGGTAACAGCAGACTGGGTGGGACTAAAAAGTTCAATCAATCAATTCCAACTTTGCAAGATCTTTTTTTTCCCCGCGAGAAGTTGAAATTGACTGATTGAACCTTTTTTTTTTTTGCACACGGCGGCGGAGGCCTAAAGCAAAAAGGTTTTATAAAACCCAGCCGAAGGCCTACGACTGTGGCAATGGTGCACGTGCCCACAGAGAGGGCTCTGAGTGCCGCCTCCGGCACCTGTGCCATAGGTTCGCCACCACCGGTTTAGGTGGCCTTGTGCTAGTGTTTTCCCATCAAAGGGGTTAGGATTATCAGTCAATGAATGACAGTTATCTGGGTGACTATATGTATCCATGCCATAATCACAACAAGAATATCACACCAATCAATTATATCTGCCAGGTAAAAACTTTTTGGATATAAGATTTTAACGCTAATGGGGGGAGGGTAGCAAAGGAACAAGATCCAGATGCTCTTCTTAGGGGTTTAAATTGTACAATAATTGCAGTAGTTGTAACTTTTAGAAAATTTGTTTCTGTAGGGCAGCATAGACATTTCAAAAATAGATGAAATTAAAATGAATTTCAAACACACATCTTATACCATGCAACAAATACCTCTAGCGATATCAGCGATAAATCTACGGCCAACTCTCCAGCAACCCGTTTCTCCCAACCTATTGAATGCAGATGTATATTGTAGCCCTAAATACTTGCATGCTACTTTCGTATTATTTTCCAAATTAAATTAAATTACAATTACAGAAAAAAAACACCCAAGGCGCTTCTGTGCTCCTGAACGCGTCCTTTTTTTAAAAAAATAATTAAACTAATACGCATTAATTACACTTCCGGTTTGCTTCCCATCGGACCGCCTCTCCGATTCGTACCACCAGGAAATGCGGATGGGCCCCTGTTAGAGCGCTCACTTAGAAGAGCAAACCGACATAGAGCAACCTGGAAGAGAACCCTCTCTGCCATTGAAGAGCTGCGAACTTGGCTCCGGAAGTTCAAAGGCGTCAGTCCTTCTAGCCTCCGGTCTATGGTTGGTGGAGGGAAAGGTTGAGAACAGGCGCTTTGGGGAGGGCGGGGTGGCCGCGAGAGCGAGCTCGCGCCGGCTGTTGGAGGCGGGACGGCACGAGCAGGTCGAAGCGTAGTAGGCCGTAGCTCTCTCTCTCTCTCTCCCCCGCCTTAGCGAAGCCCTGATGTGAGCTGGTGCCGGATCGCCGGGCCCAGAAGGCGGAGGAACAGCACGATGAAGAAGGACGTGAGGATCCTGCTGGTGGGAGAACGTGAGTGAGGGAAGGAAGGAAAGGAAGGAGGGAGCGTCTGGGAAGGTCAGCATGGAAGAGGGGGAAGGCAGAGAAGCGGGGACTGGGCCGAAGAGAAGGGAAGCCGGCTCGCCCCGCTGAATGAACCAGGTGAGGGGCAGAGGTTTGGCTGGCTGAGCTTCAGGGAGGACGGGAAGAGTGATGTTGCGGAGGTAAGATTACACGTGTGTCTTGTTTTGTCTTCCTTTGCTGGAATGAAAGGGGTCGGGTTGACTGGCGGAAAGGTGGCTGGGGAGAAGGAGAAAGCGTTGGGGGAAAGAACCAGGTGGGGAGATTTAAGCGAAGGTAGGAGAGGGAAAGGGCAACGGGCAGGACATTGGAGAGCAAGAAGAAAACAGAGAATTAAGGATGCAGTAATGGGATTTTATAGGATGTTGGGGAGGGGGGGGAGACAGGCTGAAGAAGAGGGGAACCGGTTTTAGGAGATGCAGAAATCTGGCAAGGAGGTGTAAAAAGGGCAGACGAAGAGGCAGAGCAAAAGTGAAGGGATAAAAATACATTCTGCAAATATATTTTTATCTCAATGGAAAACGGAACTCTTTGTGTATAGTCACGAAGTTTGCTCTAAAATACATTATCAGGACACCTGCTGAGGGAGTGTACATTAGATAATGTTATCCAAAACTTATTTTGATGGGCACCCAGAAACTATTTCTTATGGGATTAGATTTATTTTAATTTTTGGATCTTGGTATTCCTTGGAGGACAGATGGGGATAGAAATGTGAGCAGAGGGTTGGACTAGAAGACCTCCAAGGTCCCTTCCAACTCTCTTATTGTTATTGTAAATTCTTCAATCTCTAACTATTGGTTATTCTGTTAGGGGCTTATGGAAGTTATAGGCCAAAATATCTGGCTACAATTAACCCAGATCTAGTTATTTACTTAACTATTCCATGTCTTTGATAATCTATGTTCTGGCATGCATGTTATTAAGTGTTCTATACCAGGGGTCCCCAACCTGTGGGCCATGGCCTATTGGCCGCTGGGCTGCATGAGTGGATGGCCCGTGTGTGGGTGTGGGTGCATGCACACAGCCCCATTCATGCGAGCATTGCTGTGGCCGTTTACAGCCCCACTTGCACGAGAAATTGTGTGTGCACATGTACGCGCTTGTGTTCCCTCCACCACAAAACCATCCCTTCTTTCCCCCCTTCCCACCCCCCCCCATCCCTGCTCTAGGCCACCTACCCTGAAAGGTTGGGGAATTATACTGTATATGGAATACAGACTAATAGGTCTGTAATTTAAATATGTGGCATGCTACTTATAGATTGAAATCTTTGTGAATGCAGCAGCAACCTAATCTGCATAGCAGAAGTTGGGGAAGATTTATTTTCTGATTAGTAGATCATTGAATGTGGCTTTTTGGGTTCTATGTTAATTGAGAATGATGTGTGAACAGTGAATAGTGTCAGAAAATAGAGGCCTGGCTGTTAATACTGTGCAAAGTTACCAAGATTGCTCTGAATGTTAATGAGTCTGATGTCTGTGAATCTAGCAATTATGAATTATTGTTGAAATTTGATTGAGGGACTAATGAATTAAAATACTTTTGAATGATTTGCTATATTTAGAATAGTTCAAGAATTGAGAATTTGTAGTTCCCCTTAAAGCTCTAATAGTGCCTTGATGAGATTGTTGGGTGGGATTTGAGAATAATAATTTTGTTTGTTTTCTTCGTTGACCCCATCATTTTTTCTTTTAAATTACTTAGAAGACTGTTGCATATGTACCTTCCAGATACTGGTAAATATTTATAAATCGGAAGGAGTTCCTATTTTCCAACCAATGTTTTCTTCTTAAGATAGCAACCTGATGCATTCCAGAGGTTTCGATCTCATACAATCATATTTCTTGCTGCTAGCCACTGTAGGGAGACTGATGGGAGGTAAAGTCCAAAATATCCAGAGGGCATTAGGTCATTTATTTGGTTATGCAGGATGACATAGTCTTGCATTGAGAATGTACAAATTTAGCTTATTAGTTCATTTCTGTTTAGGTTGAATTTCCAGGTCAGTGGTGTAAAAAATAATTTTTGAGAATTCAGCCATGAAAAGTGGATTTTATCTTCTTAGAAGATTTCAATAAAGAATGATTTGTTTAAAGAGATTATTATCTATCCTGTCTCCTGACTTGCTTTGTTGGTTGTGTGACCTTGAAAAATGTTTCCTAAAAGCAAGCACTGAGATTTGCATAGATAGGGTGGCATTTTGAACTGCTTCACTATTCATTTTATGCTGATTGCAAACAACTTTTAAAATCAGAAAAGCTGGGAAGCAGGGTGACAATAAAGTACGATTTGAGACAAAGAGTGTTGTCCACAAATCAAAGCAAAATGCGTATCTTCTCTTACAACTATGTTGATTAGTACAAAGACAATAGACTACAGTGTTATCTGATTAAGCATGAGGAAGTTGAATTTAAAACCATTGAAATCTATGTCTGTAAGTCTATTTGCATGTATTTGCCTTAGAGTCAGTGTTGACTCCTGGACAGATTCCTGCAGTTTTCTTGGCAAGATTCCAGAAGTGGTTTGCTATTACCTTCTTCCTAAGGCTGAATGAATGGCCCAAGACCACCCAGCTGATTTTGTATCTAAGTTGGGACTAGAATTCATGTTCTCCTGGGTTCTGTCCCAGTGCCTTAATCACAACACCAAACTGACTCTCTCGGAGTTTTAGCTGCTGTGAACAATACTGTCAGAAATGGTTCATGTTCGTACATGTGATGAGACTGTTGTTTCTCAGAAGATTGGTCTGAGACCAAAATCTTCAAGCTGTCCTTTAGCTGTGCTTTGATTTATCTAGTGACTGTTGAAATTAGGAGCCTAAATTTAGAAAATTGAATTCTTATTTAGGGAAATGTTGCTTGCCAGGAAAAAAAAAACTCCAAAACATTCTTTGACAGGAGTAGTGTCATTCATCCTTATCTTTTGAATATATTATTTATTTTTTACAGTATAATCTGAAAATAATATTTCAAAAAACCTTGCATGCTGACATTGATATAGAGATGTGTCCTCTTAAGAGCCAGATTGGTTTCATACTTTTCATAGCATAGTTTGATTCTAGAAAAACTGGGGTTTGCTTCACTGCAATGGACAGGTATACATTTGTATTTTTTTTATAATCCCCATAATATGTAGTATATATTTCTTCTCTTCCCAAGTCCTATCATATCAAGATCACATCTACGGGTTTTTTTATTTAGGAGATTGACAATTCTGGAAGTATTTTAAGCTGAAATTGTTTTGGAATATTTCCAGAATGATCAGAACTGTATTGGAATGTCTAGAGGATCTTTTTTATTTGAAGTACTTTGCACATCATTAATTTAAATGTTCCTGCGTGCATTCTCTGCCATATTCCATAAATTCAGTATAAAATTGAAATATAGCAGTGAAGGATTACACACAGAGAGATACAGAGGGTAGTCTACTAATGTACAGGTAGACCTCGACTTACAACAGTTCATTTAGTGACCGTTCAAAGTTACGACGACACTGAAAAAAGTGACTGATGACCATTTTTCACACTTATGACTGTTGCAGCATCCCCATGGTCACGTAATCAAAATCCAGACTGACTCATACTTATGACGGTTGCAGTGTCCCAAGATTATGTGATCACCCTTTGCAACCTTTTGATAAGCAAAATCAATGGGGAAGCCAGATTCACTTAACAACTGTTGTTACTAACTTATCAACTGCGGTGATTCACTTAACAAGTGTGGCCAGAAAGGTCGTAAAATGGGACAAAACTTATTCAACAAATGTCTCACTTAACCACAGAAATTTGGGGCATAATTGTGGTTGTAAGTTGAGGGCTACCTGTAATTGTCAACAATTTAAGATTCTGGCATGAAAGGATACCAGAAATATACCAATTGTTAAACTATATTTTTAGTTGTGTGCTATGATGCATTTGGTGTGTTTGAAGTTTACTTGTGCCGGGCAACTCATGTTTTTTTGAAAAACAGAATTAGGACATGGGCTACTTTCTGGAAATGCCTGTGCTTCAATTTCAGCAACATTACAGCCACTTTAGCATTTTAGAAAGCTAAAATGTCTCAATGTAAACTTTTGCATAACAGAGTGTTTGGACAATTTTTAATAACTTTTATTAAATTTAAAATTCGGAAAGCTAAATCACACTCTGAGTAATTTTATCTTTCTGTATCACAGTACTTGACTTGAATCTGAACAAGTGCATTGCTACTATAGAAAAATACAGTTTGGTGATATCAAAGTCCTTTGGATTGATATGTGGTGGTAGTTGCACCCATGTCTACCAATATATATGTGAATGTGAATCTAAATTTACATTTCTAAAGCAATTTTATAATTTTCATTCGGTAAAAATGCTCAACAGAAGTTTATAAACCTATAATTTTTACAATATAGCAAGGTTGTACCCATTTATGTTTGTTGGTTACAGGTAGTTTATTGGGTAAATTTAAAGCAAAAAAGTGATGTGTCTGGTGATAGTGGAACAAATACTAATGGAAGATTGAATATTCTCTTCCTGCAGTTGCCTCAAATTTGGGAACATTTTCACATACGGGCTTATATATACAGTACAGCACATAAAGATGTGCCTTTATGTGGAGTAAAAAAGAACTAAAATTCTGCTTTTCCACAAAGCAGTTCCCAGAATGTTTTTGTCTTAAGCCATACAAAATCAATACTAAGCTAAAAATTAAAATAGAGATGAGTATTTGCTGGGTTTTTATTGGTTGATTTTGTCCAGACTTATATATAAGAAGAAAATAAAGGAAATTTTTAAAAAGAAAGGAAAATTATTCTCATTCAGTCTTCACAGGCAAAAAATATGCTCCTTTATTTGTTATGATTTCAGATAGTAAAAAAGTAAGTTTGAATTGACAAGCTCAGATATTACTGTTATTTATTAAATTTTTATGCCAGTTATATACGAATCAAAACATGAAACAAGATGTCCGTATCTCCTAGGGAACTATATGCCCATCCACAAGAAGATTCAGTGCTGTACCAGTTTTAAGAGTACGGTATTAATAGCACTTTTATTTCTGATAGCAAGATTCAACAAGGCCTAACTTTAGGTGATGCCCAGAGTCATTTGAATATTCTATTTAGCCAGCAGTCATTTTGCATGAAGTCATTATGCTCATTCAGTTCTTCTTGTCAGACAAAGACTTAAAAAGGCTTTTAAAAAAAAAATCTTCCAAGGCATCACCATCAAAAGTTTTCTTGGCTCAGAGGGAAAATAACTTAGCATTCTCCTTTCTTACTTAATTGGCGTAGAATATATATTGGCATAAAATATATATTGAAATGGCAGTTTTTACTTCAAATGACCATGTTTCATAGTTAAATATAGGTAGCCCTTGATTTACAACCACAGTTGAGCCCACAATATCTGTTGCTAAGTGAGATATTTGTTAAGTGAGTTTTGCAACTTCCCTTGACACAGTTGTTAAGTGAATCGCTGCAGTTAAGTTAGTAATACAGCTGTTAAGTGAATCTAGCTTCCCCATTAATTTTGCTTGTCGGAAGATCGCAAAAGGTGATCATATGACCCTGGGATACTGCAACTGTCATAAATATGAACCAGTTGCCGAGCATCTGAATTTTGATCACGTGACCATGGGGATGCTACAGTGGTCGTAAGTGTGAAAAATGGTCATAAGTCCCTTTTTCAGTGCCCTTGTAGCTTCAAACGGTTGTTTGAACGGTTGTAAATCAGAGACTACCTGTAGTAACAATTCTGGATCATTATTCGGAGTGTTTCTTCTGACCTTCTTAATCTATTCTCAAACTAATTTATAGTAAATATAATTTGCTTTTTATTCAAAAAGAAAATTGGTATAAATCTGAGCCCTGTTTCCACAACACACACAACCTATCCAGCCACTAACCTAATCAGATTTCCTTAAAAATGAAAGTGGCGCATAATCATAAAAACTGCACCAAACGTTTTTGGAATTACATGAGACCTGGACCCCTTTTCCATCAATTCCATGAGCCTTTGAAACAGAAGGAGACCAATGAGGCTTCCATTGATTGGTAGCCCTTTCCTGATGGCGTTGCCAGCAGCAAGCATTGTTGGGCTACGACAGGAAACTAATACTAATATTACTCATTTATGTGTGCTTATATCACAACTGATTAGGTGTAATTAATTTGAGTGCAACACTAGGTATGATTTGGGTTATGTTTGACCACCTGGTATTTAGTTGACTAGATCAGTTGATCTGGTTGTGATGTTCCCCAGGTATTCCAACCAATCCACAACTGACTTAGTTAAGTGTGTTGTAGAAGGAAAGTCACAATCAATTGCTATCCTTGCATATAGTAATCCAGTAGTCAAAAGCATTGATCACTGCAGTAATTCGCTGAAGTTAAATTGAGTCCCAGAATTCTTTATTATGAGGAAGTTGTAGTTCTAATCTTGTTTGAAAAGAGTTGCTGTATATCGGGATTCCCCAACCTCTGGTCCATGTACCGGTACCAGTCCATGGCCCGTTAGAAACCGGGCTGCACAAGCAAGTGAAGCCTCATCTACGCATGTGTGTGATCTAGGTAGCATGCAAAACCATTTCCCCCTCCGGTCTGTGGAAAAATTGTTTTCCACAGAACCGGTCCCTGGTGCCAAAAGGTTTGGGGAACCACTGCTGTATATTCATGCAAGGATGTACTTTTCCTATTACGTGACCTATATTAAGATTTTTTAAAAAAAAAAGTGAGAAAGTTTTGTAGAAATCACCTATTTGTACTTGCCTTACTTTTGTAGTTGTCATTTCAAAGAACCATGCCTTTTTTATATATATAAGGGTTTATCTACAGTTTTATTGCTGGTTAGCAGTAATATTGCTGGTACTCTTTCTGACACCACCCCTCACCCACCCCCACCCCAGCCAAGAATTACCTATGGAAATCCTTCAGGAATGTTCATCTTCTCAATTTCACAGCCAGAGTTGGGAAGACATCACTTATCATGTCTCTTGTCAGTGAAGAATTCCCTGAAGAGGTAAGGTTTCATGACACTTGATTTTAAAAAAATCCTTGTGCAATTAAATTTCAAGTTGCTGGACTTTGACGTAACAGATTACACATATAGTAGACAGCGTTCTGCTGTGAGTTACATTTGTTAATGATGTTTGATGCAAATTACAATACATCATTGCCATCGTCTGTAAAGGATATCTTTACACACATTGGGAAAATTATATAAAATCACAATAAGTGCATACTGGTCAATATACCAGATGTTCATTAGAAGCAGATACTCCTCCCCCCGGTTAATCTATTCATGTTTCACTATATTTTTGAAGCCCTTAATAGAAATACAAGAACTCCAAAAGCATAAGCTTAGACAAGTAATTGCTTCTAAAAGTTTGCATTTTATGTTCTTTTTTTCTAGATACACAAAAGAGTGATTTCTTTATAAGCTTTTAAACATTTGTGAAATTACGTAAAGAAATGTGCAAGTTTAACATGTACAAGTTATTCAACACGTTAATCACTAGAATATATTGCTGCCATTTCTGTTCATAATTGATATTATGAATGACAAAGTTTCTCACAGTATACAATATATTTTCAGTCATTAGCACACAAGATCTTATTGCCATAATTCCCATTAGGCTAAAATATGCCAATATATGAGACTGACTTCTGTGATGAATGACTTGGTAAAAATCATTGATTGTCTGAGAATGGAATGGAGAGCTCTAAGAGTTCCATTATTAACCATTATGTTCTGTGAAAAAAAATGATAATGAATATAGTGTTCTAGTTGTTTGCTGTCATTTCATATAAACCTTATTAGATGGGATTCATTGATTAGAAAGTTGCGTAGGAGATGTACTTGGAATTGTTAGAAATAGTAATGACTTGGGAACAAACTGAATCTTTTATGGTAAGAAATGCGCAATGTTGAATTTCTTTAACAGAGACTGGTGAAATCAAATAAGGTGGCAAATGGTAAAAACTTGTTTTACTTGGTTTCTAGTTTCCTGCTTAAGGGGGTATCATAGATAATTGCTCAGTTTCTGCTATTACAGGTTACAAGCTTTGCAATTTATGTAAGAATTGAATATTTAACTAACATTTCTGCTTTTCATACACCGAGGTTCCTCCACGAGCTGAAGAAATCACTATCCCGGCTGATGTTACCCCAGAAAGAGTGCCAACCCATATAGTGGATTATTCAGGTAATGCCTCTGTTTTTGTAAATTAAAAAGATATACATTATGGTTTGGCTGCTCTGGGAATGGAGGTATGAAAGAACAATTCATCAGCTGTAGAAAGGAAGAATACCGGCATATAAAGCTCAAAGGTTAATGTATCAAAAATCCTCTCTTCTACCCAACTAATAGTGCTTCTCTGTCTTTACAGTTTATGCCTCTAATAACCAAGATTTTAGGAAATCAGTCTCTTTGCTACTTTCTTAGTCTCACAAATGCAACAGTAATAGGGGTAAGCAACCTTGGCTATGCTGACTCAGAAATTCTGGGAGTTGAAGTCCACGAGTCATAAAAGAGCCAAGGTTGCCTACCTCTGCTTGAGTCCTTTATAAAATAATACATTGGGTTATAAGGTCTGCTTCTGTTAAATGGAGCCATTTCCTCTGACATTTTCCCAACAGAGCCAGCTTGCTAAATGTCGTGAAACAAATGAAATGGGGATTTTTTTTTAGATAGGAAGATAATGGATAAGATGCATGGCAGCTAAATTATGAAATAACTGTAAAATGGCCAGGTGCCATTTGTTTGTAACTATAAAGCACTAGATATTTAGGGTTCTAGTGTAAGTAATTTAGGTTCTACCCAATGTAAAACAAACCTAGAATTGCCTATTATAATGATCTGCATCTTTATTATTGAAAGTGGTGCTTCATCGTGGGGAAGAATAACTACATTTTGTTGAATAGTGATAAACATTCTCTGCATTTTAGTCTGGAGGAACATCCAAATTAAGAGCCATATATCCATTTAGGGTACCACTCAGCATAAAGACAAATCCTAACTTGCTTCCTTAACCATACATATGTGCATTGTCATGCAATGTGCCAGCACAGTTCAGGATTTTTCTTGAAAACTGAGATACTGAACTGAAAATTCAGTCCTTGTTTGACAACCGTTCGTTTAGAAATCATTTGAAGTTACAGTGACTCTGAAAAAAGTGACTTATAACTGGTTTTCATACTTACGGCTTTTGCAGCATTCCCACAGTCATGTGATCAAAATTCGGGTACTTGGCAATTAGCATGTTTTTATGACAGTTGCATTGTCCTGGGGTCATGTGATCACCATATGTAACCTTCCCAGCTGGCTTTCGACAAGCAAAGTCAATGGAAGAAGCACTACTTTATCAAGAATCACTTTCTTAGAAGTGACCTTGTATTTTTTTTCTATTGAATTTAATTGTAACATGTAGTAAACCTGGAAAGTTCCTCTTTGTCAAATTATTTTTAAGATTAGAGTCAAGAAAATAACTGGATGGAAGTTCTTTCGTTCTCATTCTCATAAGTCTTTGTTGTGACACTTTGTTATAAAACCTTAGTCTTACAGAGCGTGATTTAACAGATTTTACATTTAGCACACAACATTTTAATCCAGACTTCACCCCAATTTATCAAACAGTTTAACCCACATTTAGTGACCAGGTCATACTTCATTCTTACTGGCCTTTCTTCGATCATTTTGATCAATAGTAATTGTTACATTCTGTTTCACACAGAATCTCAGCAAAGCGACGAACAGCTCCATCATGAAATATCTCAAGTGAGTGGAATGTGTCTTCTGTTCTGAAATGTTTGTGTTTTACCTATCTTGGTGCCTAAGTGAATTTCTTCCCACAAGAAAAGCCAGAATCATTCTGATTATTATGAAATTATTGTGGTGGTAAAAATATCCCCCCTTCTTATACATGTGAGCTGCATTCAATACCAAACCAACTGATGCCCATCCCTATATGTGAACTACTTAAATTAACCTTTTAGGGAAACATTTGTAGCAAGCTGGATTGACCCTGAGTGGTGACAGGTAAAAATCAAACGGGAACAAGAGGCCCATTAAATTAAATTGTTTCTATTTACCTTATATCAACTTTAGTATAGCTGACATGCTACCTACCGTAGTAAGAAAGGATAAATAATGAGAAGGCCATCCAGATGGGATTTTCAAAAGCATTCCAGTATCATGCTGTAATTTACACTGGGTCTGCTTTTTCCCTTTGTTTTGTCTTTGAAATATATTAGGTCAAAGATATATAAGCTCTGACTTTGTTTTTGCCCAAGGCTACTCTGTAAGCTGCCAGTGTTTTGCTGTGAGCCCAGTGTACTCAGGTTTTTTGTTTTTGTTTTGCATGCTTAGTACATTTATGTTGTATCTTCAAAGTGATTTAGTTGCTTTAAGTGAGCCAGGATTTTGGCACCTGGAGAATCATCATTTTAAAGACATAATTTATCTGATCACTGATGTAGGAATGAGGAAAGCTGTACAATGATGAATTTATCCTCAGGCTATAAAGCATCCTCACTCTCTGTTCTTCCCATTAGACTGTCAGTTGAAATGTCTTAGCTGGAGTGGATGTTTAGTAAAGTATATCCTTGCAGCTGTGTGGTTGTCAAGAACAGGTCCAGGTGTGCAAAGTCCTGCACGCCAGAATGATGGGGGAGAAAAAAATAAACAAAATATTTTCTATGAATTTATTTAGACATTTTACGTGGCCACTGATTTTAAATACCTAACCCTGGGTTTCTAACAACAAAACCTCAAAATATAGATACAAACTAAGTTAAAAAGAACCACAATACCATAGGCAGCTGCTAGAACAAACTCACAGTGCAGCTATAGGTCTACGATGGGCTCAGCTGACATCCCAACAACTGAGGGAAGAACCAGGTCCTCATGACCTTCCAGAACTCTTGGAATGTTGGGACATTCCTGATCTTGAGGAACTTATTACATGTGACCGGCACTATGAATCTCCTAGGTCCCATCAGATGACGTTTAATAGGTGAGACGTGAAGCACACCCACTTTATCAGAACGGGTGGGAAAACTGAAACCTTTGGGGAGGGACAGTTCCACAAGTCATTTAATCCTGTGCCATGCAAGGCTCTGAATGCAATAATCACATTGAATTATATCCAGAATCGTTCTGGGGCCCAGTGTAACACCCTCAATAGCAGGGTAGCACAGGTATAGTCCAAACTGCATCCAAGGCACTTAGAATGGGATATGCTGCCAGTTGAAGCTTCTGAGCATTTTTCAAGGATATCACTGTAGAATATATTGCAGTAATCCAATTGGGAAATGATTAAGGCATGAATGATCACAGGTAGCCTTTCCTGGACTAGAATGGGTTATAAGATGATTTAAAAATAAACCAATGGATCTTTGTCTTAATCTGATGAATAATGAGCAAAGTTCATCTTATGGACTGAAGTTTGCCAATCTAACCTCTGAACACTTATCCATGAAACAATGAGAGAATATGATAGGGAAAAGTTGGGGAAGAAATGCCCTTTGCAGAAGCAAAAGAGTTTCTGTTATAAGAACAGGCTGCTTTTTTCAGATGCTGAAACTTTTACTGATAAATTTTGGTGGGAAAGTCAGTGAATTTGTTTGTGGAATATGATTCCACATCCTTGCAAAACTATTTATGATTTTTCCAGTTTATGATTTTAAAAATAGATGTATGTAGGTATTTGTATTTTTATTCTTTATGCCCACAGTACAAAATCTACAAGTAAATTGTTGGTTCACAGTTTTAATATCTTATGTTTAACTGAATATCAGAAGAAACTATCAAGTGGCCTTAAATAATGTATTTTAACATATTTGCTAGGAAAACCTTACAGTTATAAACCATTTGCTTCTTCTTTGTCCCAGGCAAATGTAATTTGCATAGTATATGCAGTTAACAACAAGAATTCAATCGATAAGGTATGAGGAAAGCGTTTTTTATTTTGTCCAGATATTAATATAGCATACTTGTTGACCATGAATACATTTGTTTCCAGGTGTTCAGACTGTCTTTTTGAAAGACATGATGAATTTGTCTTTTCTTAATTTTCTATCAATCCAAATGGGTCTTTTCTGACTTAGTCCTAAAAGAATTGCATTGTTTTCTTGATAGACAGAGTGTGGCCCTTTCACTTGTAAGGGCATATTTTACTGTTTTTTTATTTCAACATATTGAATATTCCAGATGAGAAAAGTAGGGATCTTTAAAATAATTCAAACAAAGTTTAAATGCCATGGAATGCAATTTTTTTAGTTCGAATAGAAAAGAATAAATGCAGCTTATGACTGAATTGTGGAATCCTTGATTCTCTCTGAGTTTGATTACTTGTTTCCAGACATTTCATTACCAGTTAGATAACTTCATCAGTGCTAACACCAATGCCAGTGTAAAGTTTGCTCCCTGTTTACACACAGTAACTTGCCCTGCCAGTGTTGATAGTGGAATAGTTCCTTGATTAGGCATTGTTTTCTGCTTAATTGTCTGAGTTCTTGATTAATCTTTGCTTATCTGAGTATTGACTGTTGGAGAGTAATATGTCCTGTTTTTTTTGGTTTCCTTAGCTTTTTGTTGTCTCTTTTAAATGATGTTCAAATATGGCTAATTTCTATGTGTCTATTAATGGCCAATTGTCTGAATTCCCTAGCATTTTTTTTATTTGGCTGAACACCAAGCAAACCAGAGAAACAAGCAAAAAATAATCAAGGAACTACTAAGGAGAAAACCACATTCCTACCAATTCTGGCAGAGCAAGCTAATGTATATAAACAGGGAGCAAATCTCGCACTCGTTAGCACTGATGATGTTACCTAGTTGGGTAATGAAACATCTGCAGCAAACAGCCAACTTTAGAGAGCACCAAGAACTCCACAGTGTTTTTAGTTTCTCCGATGTAATCCTGTGATGTTTCTTTTAGAATAACTTATCTATATTATTAGTGTTGATACATTAATATTTAAGCATGGAATGAAAATGTAGTTTGAATTCAATGGATTTGCATGAGGTAATTATATTGGAATCTGAAAAAGATCCAATTATTTAGAACAGAGGTCCCCAACTAGCACCAGGGACCGGTTCCAGTGGAGAGAGGTTTTTCCGCGGACTGGAGGGTGCATGGTTTTGTGTGCTGCCTAAATCTCGCGGATGGGGCTTTGCTTGCTTGTGTGGACAGCTTGCTGGCATGCCGCGGCCCGGTACTGGTCCACAGACCGGGGGTTGAGGACCCTTGAATTAGAAAGTTGCATAATTTTTGGGTGAGGGAAAATTGGTTGCGGTTTTAGTGGATATCAATGAGGAAAATGTGCAGTTCCTACATACAGAAGCAGGTTATGTATTTTCTGTGCATATAGTTATGCTGAATAGAGTTTTTGTTCTATTTTTACCCCCTTCATTTAACACTGGGATTTATCACTTCACAATTATTAGTGAACGAAAGCAAATTTAATTTTTGTAACTACCATAAGGATTACCTTGCACTGCCTATTTCTTCATAGTCTTTGCCCTCTCACACTTCTTCAAATGTATTTTAAACATTCAGAAAACTAATAGCAAAATAGAAATATATAGTGGAATGAATAGTGCAGCCTAACTTTTAAAAATGAATATTGATTTATTACTTTAGGTAACAAGCCGGTGGATCCCTCTCATCAATGAAAGAACAGACAAAGACAGCAGGTACACATTAAGATCTGTTTAAGCTCAAATAGTGAAATATTAAGGAATATTATTGAGACTCCAATTATAATTATATTTTAGAAGAAGATTATTTATAAGCTCAAGGTATATTTCCTGAGCTTTTAATTAGCTTGCTTGTTGTTGCACTGTTGGGAACTGCTTAGATTTCTGGAATTGAAGTTTAAAAAATAATTATATTTATTTGTGTGTTAGATTTATATCTAATTTTTCATCCAGGAGTTCAGAGTAGTATACCTAGCATTCTTCTGTAATTTTCCTCACAACCATCAGTGAATATATCAAACATTTCTAATCAAACTGGTAATCTTAAAATATTAGAACCGTGGTGGTGCAGTGGTTAGAGATGCAATATTGCAGGCTAATTCCGCTAACTGCTGGCTGCCAGCAGTTCATCAGTTTGATTCTGATCGGCTCAAGGTTGACTCAGCCTTCCATCCTTCTGAGGCCAGGTCAGTAAAATAAGGGCCCAGATTGTTGGGAGCAACACGCTGACTCTGTAAACTGCTTAGAGAGGGCTGTAAAGCACTTCTGGAACAACCTGCTTCCAGAAGTTGTGAATGCTCCAACACTGGAAGTTTTTAAGAAGAGACTGGACAGCCATTTGTCTGAAATGGTATGGGGTTTCCTGCCTGAGCAGGGGGTTGGACTAGATGACCTCCAAGGTCCCTTCCAACTTTGTTATTATTATTGATCATCACGCAGTCAATCAGATGTTCAGACTGGATTTGACATTTTTGTCTATCGAGTCCTTACCAAGGATCTGGGATAGGCAGATGTGGATGTTTGAATTGATGGTATTACAGATATTGTCGCAGATGGAAGCTGTTCCTAGTAAGGCCACCTTTTGCAATTGACTGATGGCAAATTTGTCAATGCCAATAGTGTCCAGGTGGTGCTCCAGTTGTTTTGGGATTGCACCCAAGGCACTATCATCATCGTCAACATCATCATCATCATCATTATTATGCAGTATATAAGTGCTATTGCTATTGCTTAACTTACATTTGAAACATAACTGAAATGCTGTGTGGCATTCTTTTATATAAGGTATTTACATTCATGGACACTCCCTAGCCCTCCAGAGAATCCAGAATTTATTACTGTATTGAAGTGTGATTTTCATGTAAGGGAAAACCACTCCTCATATTTTAATTAACATATTTACTGTGCATAGTTAAATTAACATAATTGTTGTCCTAGCCATGTTTATCGGAATATATCCCTGCTGTGGTAGTGAAAGCTCATAAATAGCCTTCAAATCAGCCATGTAACTGATTTTTTAGTTAAAACTATTGTGTTTTATGGCCAAAGAAAACCAAAATTTTCAGTCTCACAGATGTATTTATTTATTGGCCATCCATTTTATCACAGGGTAAATCTGGGCAGCTTACAGTATTAAAACGATAAAACCACACATGGTTGATTTGAGAGATGTTCCTATAACTTTATAAATTATCTTCCCTTACTGTAATATTGGGGCTAGAATTTAAATACCAATTTGAACAGCAAACACTAGTTTTTCTTATTGTGCATTTATGAGCTATCTAATGTTTTATTTTTCAGTATGAGAACATTTAATTCTTTTTCAGGCTTCCGCTTATATTGGTTGGAAACAAGTCAGACCTGGTTGAGTACAGTAGCATGGAAACCATCCTTCCCATCATGAACCAGTACACGGAGATTGAAACTTGTGTAGAGGTATTGAAAAACCATGTTTGTGGGCATTCCTAGTTATTTAATAGAAATCAGAATTCTACTTTTAAATAAATCTAGGTTTGCAGCAGTGGAGGGAAGCACCTGCTATACCAGCTGGAGGAATAGAGATTGTTGGGAGATTGTGTCTCTTCTGTCTTAGAAAATACCAAGAGAACAGCTTGGCTTCAGCTATTGATTAGGAAAAGGGGCAGATACAGGGAGCTCCTTTTTTTCCAGAATGAGTACTGCTTTGGCTGGTAGTTTTTTCCTACCACTATTGAATTGGGGAGAAGAACATTCTGTTTTCTTTTTTTTTTTTTTTATTGAAAATTTTTAAAATTTTTACAAGAAAAAGAAAAACAACCCTACCCAACCCACCCCAACCTTCCCACTCCCTCCCTCCACCTTCCCAGAGCTGAATATAGGCTTAATTAAAATTTCTTAAATTTCTTAAAATCTTAAGAAGAAGAATATAAACCATAAATAAGTCTAAATACAATATTTATACAACTTATAAAATAATTAACAATAATATATATATGTAAAAAGCATAACTATTAGAGAAAAAAGAAAAAAAGAAAATGCTTAGAAAGAAGAAGAATAAAGGAGAAAAAAGAGGAAAAAAAATATAAAAAATAAAATAAACATAAAAGATATAAGAAGTAAGAAAGAAAGAAAAAGAAGAAAAAAAAGAAGAAAAAAAATACAATCTATAAAATATAAAATTTATATATAAGTTATTGAAAAACTAAATAATATTTTTTATATCCAACCTGTGTTGTACAAAATCTATCCATTTTTCCCATACCGCAAAGAAGTTCTCTTGCAATTGATCCTTTAAAAAAGCCGAAATCTTTGCCATTTCTGCCAAATAAGAAACTTTAGAAAACCACTCTTGCAAAGTAGGCAAGGATTCCTTCTTCCAGTATTGCCCTACTAACAACCTTGCGGCTGTGATTAAATTTAACATCAATATAACCTCCTTAGTGTCACAATCAATAACAATACCTAACAGAAACAATTGTGGGGTAAATTTAACCCTCCTTCTAAAAGTTCTTTGAATATTCCACCATATCTTAATCCAAAAGGCTTTAATATTTTTACACGACCACCAGATATGATAATAAGTAGCATCCAAACAACCACATCTCCAGCATTTAGGCTGTAGGTCAGGATACATACGAGACAATTTTTGTGGATCAAGGTGCCATCTATAAAACATTTTATAAAAATTCTCCCTTAAGTTCTGGGCTTGAGTAAATTTAACATTCCTCACCCAGATGGTTTCCCAGGTATCTAGTAGAACTGGTTCACCGAAATTTTGTGCCCACTTAATCATACAATCTTTAATTCTGGTTCTGAATCCAATTCTACTAGCACCCCATAAATTCTCTTAATGTGTGTTCGCCTTTGATCCTTTACTTGTTTAAAAAAATTTTCATCTTCTCTAAGCAGGCCCACATTACGATCTATCTTCCATCTATCCACTATTTGTCTATACTGAAACCATGAATATATAATGTTTTCTAGTGCTAAATCTTCCAAAGATTTTAACTGCCAATTTTTACCATCCCATCTGAGTAGTTGTGCGTAGGAAACGCTACCCATCTTAACTCCTCTCTTTATACCCTCTATCGCATGCCAAGGTATAGCCCATAATGGTATTTTAAAATCACTTCTATAATATTTCCTCCAAACCCGAAGTAAAGAAATCCTTATAATATGGGATTTAAAAACCCGATCAACTTTTTTATTAAAAATTAAATAGGCATGCCATCCAAAAAGTAAGTCCCAACCCTCCAAGAGGAGTATTTCTACATTTGTTAAATTAACCCAATCACTAATTAATGTTAAAACCACAGCATCATAGTACAATTTCAAATTCGGTACCTTGAGTCCACCTCTCTCACGAGTATCTTGTATAATTTTAAGCTTTACTCTTGGTTTTTTCCCTGCCCAGATAAATTTATTGATACCTTTCTGCCATTCATTTAAATTGACCTCATTCTTTAAGATAGGTATCATTTGAAATAAGAAAAGGAACTTAGGCAGGACATTCATTTTGATCACCGCAATTCTTCCCAAAAGAGATAATTGCAACTTCTCCCAATTTTTCAAATCTCTTTGTATCCTGACCCACAACTTTTCATAATTATTTTTATATAATTTTACATTAGAGACAGATAAAATAACCCCCAAGTATTTTACCTTATCAACAACCTCAAAATCTGTCAGATTAATCAAAGTCTGCTTATCCATATTAGTCATATTTTTAGGTAGTATTTTAGTCTTGTTATTGTTAATTTTAAAACCCGAAACCCGTCCATATTGGTATATCAATTGTAATAACTCTACTACAGAATAAGTAGATTGGGACAGTGTAACCACCAAATCATCTGCAAAGGCTCTTAGTTTATATTCTTTTTTGACATTCTGTTTTCTGTCATTAGCTGCACAAATGAAGAATTGGGTCACCATTAGCTTTTTTATCATTAGCAACAGCAAGAAAAAGAAATCTGTTCTCAATTGAATACAAATGCCATTTTTATCGACCATTCCTCTTTTTTTTAAAATGTCTTTCTAACTTATAAACCTGAAAGTTCTTTTTTAAAGGTAAGCTGCTTTGGGGAAGAGTATTTATTTGGAAATTAGATTAAAATATAATTAAAGGAAATAGTAATGTGACTGTTTTTACTGCCCAGGTATTCGGAAATCATTTTCCATTTTAATTAATCTCAAGGATGTGCATCTAAAAATAAAACTGAGGCAGCTAAAAATAAAAATAAAACTGCTACATATGGTATAATGCCAAGATAACAGTAGGCTTCAGAACTAAAATTTTAAACACTAAATGAGATAAAAAAAAATTACAATTTGATATTTGTACAAAGCTCTTCCATCATGATACTATTCCTTAAGCAGAATGTGCTTGGATGAATAGACTTTCGATCCAATAGCTATATATTAAGCCTTTTTCTTCCATATTGAGGTAAAGGTTTCAAAACTGTTCTCATTTTTTTTCTAGTGCTCAGCAAAGAATTTGAAGAATATATCTGAATTGTTTTATTATGCACAGAAAGCAGTTTTACACCCTACAGGGCCCCTCTATTGTCCAGAGGAAAAAGAGGTATATTGATAACTTTTCTGCTATAAAATTCATCTCTGTCACTAACTCCCCAGTCTTAAAAAGCTAAGAGTGACACTCAAAATATTCTGAAGTGATCTTTCAGCACCTGGTTCTCAGTGTTTTGCCATTTTCTGCTTTATTATCTGCAGTGTGTTTGAAGAAAAAAAAATCCAAGGTGGAAACCTGAGTGCTATTTAAGGTAGAAAGGTATAGTGGTTGGAAACAGATATACCATTTTAAGAAGATAGAAATATCTTCACCCTTCCGTTCTTCTGGTCTTTCTACAAGTCAAATAGTTCAGAATTGATGTGTCACCTATCTTCCTATTTTTAATAATTTCTTCTACTCTCGGGTAGTCTCCTTTCCCATGCAGACCAAGATGTTATTGGAAATTACAAACTGTTTTTTTTTACAAGCCTTCATTATGACGTTGAGCCTCTCTTCTTTACCATTCCTAAGGATTGCATAACAAGTCATTCTCTTGATGAGTTGTGTTTGTTCTGAAAATCAAGTATAAGCACAAGAATCAATTCACTTTATAAAGTTTAATGTTAAGCTGGCATCCCTGTCACTTTGAAAGATCACATAAAATAGAAGATTTCCTGATAGCTCTTGACTAGTTCTTGGTTCTTTCTAGAGACTAGTTCTCTTATCTAGCAATACTGTCAGAATACAATACTGGTTCCCTAAAATAAGGAAAAGATCCAAACGATTAACACAGTAGCTGAGTTGGTGCATCATACTGAGCCATTATATATTTGGTGCTGGTTTAGCATAATGTATATACTTAGCTAATTGTGGTTTATTGAACCACGATTTAGCACAGGCAAGCTGGCTGAGGAATTCTGGGAGTTGAAGTCCACAAGTCATAAAAGGGCCAAGTTTGAAGGCCCTTGATTTAGCATGTCCACAAAGATTTCTGTCTCTCCTATTTGTAAAAGCTGATTTAACTTCCTGATGTTCTACAAAATGGGAATAATAAAATGACAGGATTGACGGCTTTTACTGTAATAGAGAAAAAATTATGACAAGCTTGAGCATGAGTTAGAAGTTGTTTTAGGGTCTACTTAGCAAAGAGATTTGCTACGATAACGTGATCACAAAGTAGCAATATATGTTCCCTTTCTGAGTGGCAAAGACATACAGGCTCCTTGTGAAGGGAGAAGTGGAAAACATCCAACATTCCAAATTTCCATGTTTACTTTATAAAAATTGTGGATAAAAACTTGAAGAATCTATTGTGACCTGGATTCCACATTGATTACAGATACGGTATTATAATGGATGTTGCTACAACCCCACTTTTTTCCTGTCAGTGTAGATACTTTTCAGCTTGTGCCTCCTAAATACATTGGCAGACTATTTGGAAGAATGAGGCCCAGTGCCTGCTCACTGGATATTTGCCTGTTCTGAAATAATCTTAAGAAGGGTAGGATGTCTGTAGTCAGAAAGAAGTAATGGGTAGGATCCTGCCAGGAGAGTTGACGACACTTGTAATTATTTCAGTTATTATCAGTCTGATCATCATTTCTGAGTGATCAATTCCAGGTGATTCTGGACCTGATTGATGCAGATTCCATTCTTTCAGATTTTTGGTCTTGTTTTTGACTGAAATTGTTGCTGCAATATTTGATATACAGCAGTTTATCATTATCATAGGCCTATTGTTCTGGTTTGTTTGTTTGTTATTTTACTTTTTTGCAGCTTTTTCGTGTTCTTCTCAGATGGCTATATTGGCTTTGTATTTTGGACACTAATGTGGGGCATTCTGACAATTGCATCTAAGCTCTAAAAGTCCACTTCCCACTTAGAGAGGAGGAATTATCTGGTTTAACAAGCATTTAGGGTTCAGGCATTTTTTCAATCCATTGTGCTTTTATTTTCTCCTTATATTATTTTTCTCTTTTGGTGGGTTTTTTTTTCCTCCTGTTTTCTGTTTTTTTGTGTGGTGATTTTTTTTTTTTTTTTGCAATTCAGGAGAAACCATTTTTTATCATTTTAAGTAAATAAAAGTTGTATATACTAATTTCAAAACAAAATGTACATTTGTCAGACATACGTAAATATTTATTAATTTGACACTGGGCCACAGAGTGTTCCTTTATAGTTTTGGGCAGCTTAATGAATTCATTTCTATTTATGTCAACTGTGAATTCAGAATAATCTTAAATAAAACCAATGGACTAATTTAGAACTCAATAGAGACCGCTCATATAATGGTTACATCTTGTGTTCTGATACTTTGAGCTTGCAAGCTGGGGGATGAATTAATATTGATTCTTATACTTTAAAGACTTAATAGATGAAATGTAATCCGCATAGTTAGCTTTTGGCTAAGAAATGTGATTTACAAAAGAGGCTAAATTCAGGTACCTTATTCCTGCTTGCTAATTTATGAGTGACATTATGAGGCCAGTCTGGCAAAAACAAAACAAACCCCTGAAACAAAAAACAATCAAAGCCATCTATCTTAAACCAAATGTAACCTAGAAAATGTCACTTTTGAATTTTATTTCAGGATAGGTAAAAATTTACAATGCTTCAGAGGGAGGACCCATTTCAGAGATGAAATACAAAGCTTTGCATGGTCTTAAATATTACAAACATGGAGTTTTGTAAGCTAGCTATTTTTCTATTGAAACTTATTTTTATTTATTTCCCTTTCTTTCAACTCACATAACTTTGTGAATCTGAACTGCAACTTCGTCAGCCATCCAATAGTTTGGAACCTTATTAACCAGTCCTCTTCTGTGTTGGTCTGTACTGTAACCTTGTTAGTCAATCCAGAAGAATAGCAGCTTGAACCCATCCAGGAATTTTTTTTTTAGTATAATTTTATGTTCAACTGTTGTAAGCTGTGCAGATAGCCACACAGCAAGATGGATAGCAAATTAATTTAATAATACATAAAAATTATTACCATGCCTGTGGCTCAAGATTGGCCTATATTAATATCCTCTGTGTTTGCTTGTATATCTCTATCAAATCTAGTGCCAGATTGGCCCCTAAGATATCCTAACCTTTTAATTCAATCATAGGTTTCATTGTCCCAGGCGTGACCATGCCAGCATACAAGCTTCACCCCTTTGATACTTTAGGAGTAAAGATTAAGAATTCAGACCAGATTTGTTTTTTTTTTTAACTTGTTTTTCTTGTTAAAACTTGTTGGTAGATTATATACTGCTGTTTTTACCACATGAAGCTCAGCAGATCTGGGTCTGCAGTTGTGGGAATTATCTGTCAACGCTTCCAAAAAATAATCAGGTTTAGGAGGACTGATTTATATTTAAACAAAAATGTCTCTGTGGATTTTGAAAGACCTAGGAAGGTAGCAGGCGCAAGAATATTCAGATTCTTTTGGTTGATTGTGTCTTGTGAAAACCAGAGTTTTTTAGGTTGAAGCAAAATATGGCAGGGAAATAAAATGCAGTCATTATCACTCCTTGGTTCACCTTAATCTGTAGATGAAACCTGCCTGTATAAAAGCCTTAACTCGGATCTTCCGAATTTCTGATCAAGATAATGATGGCACCCTGAATGATGCAGAACTCAACTTCTTTCAGGTATTCCTCCATTTTCTGCCATGTTTCATCCTGAACTGTGCATTACGTTTCAAGAGAAATCCTCAGTTTGAACTCATTGCTGATACTTTAAGGTTTGGGCCATTCATTCAGGCTCAGGGTACTGAACTCACTGTAGAAGACTTTAATTGTGGTGGTGATACAGGGGGGGGAGGGGGAGGGAGTTGCTGCAGAAAGGAAGGATGAAAATGTTGCAAGACTTCTGCTCTCATTTTCTCCTTTCAGAGAGATGGGCGCAGTGAGCTGCGTCTGCAAAGATACAGCAATTCTTTATTTGTTTGTTGTTTATTACACGTATATGCCATCCATCTCACTGTTGCCGTGACTCTGGGCAGCATATAGAATGATAAAAAGGTTTTTAAAAAGTAATACAGAAGGATTAAAATTAGGAAGGTTAAATAAGAGTTAAAAACCAAGAGGACAGGCGACGTGGGGGTTACGGATCTTTTCTCTACCCCATCCACCACTCCCAGCATAGAGTACGCCTATTGGGGCCCTGACCAGCCAGCAAAACCCATTTTTAAGGCTCTTCCAGAAAGCTAGGAGAGTTGGGGGCTCACCTCCAGCTGGAGAATATTCCAAAGGGTGGGAGCATTTATGGCTGGACTACTTTTTTCAGTTCTTCCTAAAGAAAAGCGGGGGGAAATAGCACTGCTCTAAAGATTCACTCCACCCTCTCCAATTTTTGCATAGAGAGATGGAAGAATAAGATGCCAGAATGTAGTCACTCTGTATTACCAACAGTGTTGTGGATTCTGTATTCAGAACTCTTGCAAAAAAAAGTGGTGACGTATCCCCTGAGTCGGTCAGATGCAAGTGGCTTGACCACATGGCTGGCTAAGAAGCTGCAATATGCTTCTTTTGCACATTTAACCATGGGGCTAGTAGCTTGCTCTGCTACTTGTATGAGTCTGACATGAGACCAAGCTGTTTACAGCCCACTGAATCTTTTATCAACGAATATTGATTTCAAATATTTCTACTCTCTTTAGAGAATTTGCTTTAACACACCACTGGCATCTCAAGCATTGGAAGATGTAAAGAATGTAGTAAGGAAAAATCTAAGCGATGGAGTCGTAGACAATGGATTAACGCTGAAGGGTGAGGACGACGTTCTTTCTCATTACTATATGAAACATGGGAAGGGGATCTGCTGATAATCTGGAAACTATAGCAGAAACCATGACTTGATCTCTTATTTATGAATTTGGAAGCCAACAGAATTGAATGGGTTTAAATGTGCTATGCCGAGGTGATGTTTATACTTTGGCCTTTCTGCATAGACCAATTGTTTGGGTATGGAATTGATTAGTCAAAAAGGCAGCTTATTAACTCATTTTATGTGTATATTTCTTTGCCAGAGTCCAGATGCATTTTTGTTAGGCTCAAAACAGTTGGGTCTGTTGCTTTGTCGGCATCTGCAGGTGGGCTGGAGGGGTAGTGGCAATTCCTCTTATCTGAGAGAGTGGGCTGCTGGTACCATATTTTTGCACTGAAAATGTAATCTGGAATGTGTAGTTTTCCAGCTCCAAAAGGGAAAAGATGATGTAGAGTGTGCTTATGTCCGCTAGTAATACTTGTTGGTATCTCTTAAAAACCTATTTTCTTGAGTTCGCATGCAGATTCTTAAGATGCTGTTACAGAAATGATAGTTGGGCCCACATGTTTTTATTCACCTTTTCCCTAGAGGGCTGCTCAGCCCTCCTGACCATGATCAGCCAGTTTTACAAGAGCATGATGCTTTCATAGCATTTGTTTTTGTTTTCAGTTCTAACCTTTCTCCCTGGCCTGTGTTCTAGAATTGCCAATTAAACAACTGTCTTTTCAGGCTTTCTTTTTCTTCATACACTCTTCATCCAGCGAGGGAGGCACGAAACAACTTGGACAGTATTGCGGCGTTTTGGCTATGATGATGACCTAGAGCTCACACCAGAGTATTTATTTCCCCTGTATGTATCAATTGATTTTTAAAACTTGGCTTAAATTTAGTTGGTATTATTGACCTATACAATTTAAAATCTAGGTTTCCCTGCAGAAAATTAGGTACTTTCTAGAACTTGATGTTCTGGTGACTGAAAAAAGTTACATATGACAGATTCTCACACTTGCGACTATCGTAACATTCCCACAGTCATGTGATCAAAGTTTGGGAGCTGACAATGAGCATGCATTTGCAACAGTTGCAGTGTCCTGGGATCATGTGATTGCCAATTAAGGCCTTCCCAGCTGACTTTCAACAAGCAAGGTCAGTGGGGGAAGCTGGAGTCATGTAACAACTGTGATTTACTTAATGACTGTGTGATTCACTTAACAACCTTGGTAAAAAGATTGTAAAAACAGATGCAACTCTCTTAACCACTGCCTTGCTTAGTAGCAGAGATTCTGCTCCAGTTTGTGGTCGTAACTTCAGGACTATCTATACCACATCCAGAATTTGAATATTGCACTTCTCAATATTAACTCTTAGAGAGCAGCTGCAGAAAGAGTAGCTGCTCATGTCTTGCTTATGGGCTTCATAGGATCATCAGATTAGCCCTAGGGATAGGGAATATTGGGCTTGATAAGCTTCTGGTCTGTCTGTATGCATGTATGTATTTATTCAACGTATCCTACCCATCTCACCTGGAGGTGAGATTTGGTGGTCTACAATCATTAAAAAACCCAAAATCTTAAAACATTAACGCAATAAATAGTAACATTAAATTAGTTTAAAATTGACAAAGATGGGGGGAAAGAGAGCAAGATGCACAAGGGGAGGTGGGGGGGTCTTACCTTAGTCTGTTAACAACTTGCAGAATGAAGCACCCCCAATTATAAGACTTGCCTGTTCGTTTTATGTTCGGTAAATATACTTTTTCAAAGGTATTACTTTCTTTTCAATCAGGTTAAAAATACCTTCTGACTGCACAACAGAGTTAAACCATCATGCATACTTGTTTCTTCAAAGCATGTTTGATAAGCATGATTTGGTAAGTTTTTCATCTGATTTTGGGACTGTTTTAAGATGAACACACAATTGATTGATTGATTGATTGATTGAACTGAACATTCCTGGCAATATACAAAAAGGCGAGTATTAAAAAAAAATACAACTATTCAACACACCCTCAAAATAAATGTCCGCAAATAATTAAATAGAATTGAAAGCACCAGTGGAATATAGTTGTTTTAACTGCTTTATGAAACACCTGGAGAAACAGTGCTTCATCAGTGTCTGAGAATAATGAATTCCAAAACATGGAGGCTGCACCAGAGAGGCCTGCTATCTAGCTCCCACCCCAGTTACTTCCTGAATACATTTTTCAAACATTATCTTTGCTATTGAAGGCACTTGAAATAATTAAAATATATTAAATATTTAACTTGTTTTATTGCATAGTGTATGTTTAGGATTTGCCAATCAAGTGATTCTGTTACATAAAAATATATGGGGTTTTTTTTTGGGGGGTATCCTTGGTTCTCTCTGAGCCTGGTTGTTTTCTTGCAGACATTTCATTACCCAGCTAGGTAACATCTTCAGTGTTAGAAGAGTGTGGGGTTTGCTCTCTGTTTATATATCGTTCTCTTTCCCAGAAGTTCTTAATCAACGCCACCTGAGGCACAACTAAATGAAGTGTAGAAAAACAAGCCATGTCAGTTGAGTTACTAAACAAAGCTAATTGGCTATAAATAAATATAAATCTGTTTTCAGGACCGAGACTGTGCTTTGTCTCCTGAAGAACTCAAGGATTTGTTCAAAATCTTCCCTTACATGCCATGGGGACCAGATGTCAACAGCACTGTTTGTACAAATGAAAGGGGTTGGATAACGTATCAGGGATTTCTTTCTCAGTGGACGTAAGTGTAGCATATAAATTAGAGATTGCTCACGACTTGTTTAGAAACAGCTATTCTTTTAATAATGATACAAACTGCTTTCAAAGACAGTTTAGGTGATTGATACCATTTGGTTGTTTCTTTGGATATGACTATTTCAAACTGCAAATATATTATTCTATTATTGAAAGCTCCCAGCACTGTAAGAACAAGCACGTTTGAAAAAGAAAGGAAGCCAAAGTACTCTTTTCTCATATACTATGATTTAATCAGGAAGGAACTGCAGCAATCTTATGATTGTAACCCAGGCAAGTGTCACAAATTAATCCTGTGTTGAATTAAAAGCCAATTGCTCTCTCGGAGACCTGCTTAATAAAGTTTGCCATGCTTGTTTCACACAACAAGCACGTTGCCCAAGAGAACCATTACTATGGCTAGAAATAGACATGCAGGGATGTTTCTTTCTACTATCCATTGCACCATCTTGCCTTTTTTGATACATGGCATGCAACCTGATAAAATGTATAACCTACCTTAACATTATAATATCTCGAGCTGTCATCCAATATTGTTTAACTGCATACTACCTAAGAAGTAGTAGATAAGTGCTGATACAAATATTACTAATTTTGCTTCCTGCTGCTTTCAATAGCTTAAAAATCCGTTCAAGGGGGGTTCCTAAATAGGGAAGGTGCGAATTCCAGTGCATGAGTACAGATATAAAACAGTCCTGGATTTTACCGATAGATTTGTTTTGCAAAGTGCCTTAAGGCAGGAGTCCCCAACCCCCCAGGCTATGGTTCCCAAGATGCGGCCTGTTCGGAACTGGGCTGCGCAAGCGTTGGGAAAGCCTGCACGTGCTCCACTTGCAGGAACTTGTGCATGAAGCTCCATTTGTGCGGGTACTCGTGCTCGGCACAAAGCTCCTTTTGCGTGAGTAGCGGGCATGCGTATCCACCGCTTGCACAAATGCACACATTCACGTGCGCACCTGCCACTTGCACAAAACATCCTCTCTCTCTCCGCTCCCCCACCTCTTCCCTGTCTGCCAAGCCAGAAAGGTTGGGGACGCCTTAAGGCTACAACAGGTGTTGAGAAGTTGGGAAACATAGTTATTTTATCTTATAGACTAACTACATACTTGGATGTACAGCGCTGCCTCGAGTATCTGGGCTATTTAGGATATTCGATATTGACTGAACAGGAATCCCAGGCATCAGCAATTACAGGTATTGGCTTGCACTCTTCCCACCTTATTTTGGGAAGAATTTGGATACTTGCAGGGTAAAGCAATTGAAGAATTCTTACCGTAAAGCATTGGGATTTTAGGGAATATATCTCGCTATATGTCTGTTTTTGTTCTTGTTTTAAAGTAACCAGAGACAAAAAGATTGACCTTCAAAAAAGACAGACTCAGAGGAATGTGTTCAGATGTAATCTCATTGGGTTGAAAGGCTGTGGGAAAAATGGAGTTCTCCATGCCCTGCTTGGAAGAAATCTCCTGGTAAGACTCTTCTGTTTTTCTCTAAAACGATGATCTCTGACATTTAAACCAAGGTTAGAATTGGGTCAGAATTACCTGTTGATAGCATTTGGTCACTGCTTTTACAGGTTTTTTTAAAAATTAATCTTTGTCATTTTTTCCTGTGGGCACAATGGCACACATTAAAAATGAAATTTAGTTGCTTCCTCTCAAAGTGTACACATACATAACACACATTTATATACAACATATGTATAGACCTATAGTATATTCTTAAAATTATTTTTCGCACATTTCCCCACCCCACGTGGTTCTTCTCATTCACTGTTTATTTTTATTTGTGATCCAGCAACTTTGAGGCAGGACAGCTGCACAACCAATTAGCTATGGGACCTTTGGGGCCCAAAGGAAATGTACTGTTAAGTTAGTCATGTACCAGCATTTAATGTTCAGGCAATGCTGCTTTGCTATACAGATCCAGAGTGCAGTATTTACTTATCCTTTTTCTACATTGCTCATCTCACCTAAGTGACTCTGGACAGTTTACAAATGAAAACCGTGAAAAGTGACATAGTTAAAAACACTGGTAAAAACAAAGGTTAAAAGTTAAAAGTTAACAGGTTAAAAAAAAATTTTAAAGGCAGAGGGAGTGCCCTCAAGCCACCAACCACCCCCAAGGCTGTATGCTACTCTTAGACCCCCAGATATTGATGGTTTTCCAGAAAGCTGGGATAATGGGGGCCTACCTTACCTCTGGGGGAAAGATGTTCCATGGGGCAGGGTTAACAGCAGAAAAGACCCTTTTCCTAGATCCCAGAATTCTTTAGTTGACGGGATCCGCAACAAACCCTCCCTGATTGATTGAGTAGGACAGATTGATGAAATAGGGATAGGGTGATTTCTCAGGTAGGTTGGTCCCATGCCATGACAGGTTTTAAAGGTGATAACCAACACCGTGAATGGATCTGGAAGCAGACCAACACCCAATGTAGCTTACATAGCACAGGGTTTACATGCACCCCCTCTGGGGATGCCCTAGTATGCTTGTGCCACCACGGTCTGTACCAGCTGATCCTGCCAGCCTGTCTTCAGAAACAGCCTCACAACCAGCAACTTGTGCAGCAGCACTCCTGAAGACCAACAGGATTTCCAGAAGACAACCGTTCCTGTCCTTCTCCTGCCCTGGGGTCTTGGGCTGGTGCCATATCCTAAACCCGGCCAGGCACATTTCAGAGAGGGGAACTCTGCCCCTCTGGGCCTAGCCAGGTCTCGGTAATACATGCCAGGTTGGCTGCTCCTCACTGATGAGATCACAAATTAGAGGATCTTTGTTATTAATTAATCTGGCATTAAATAACAACAGCTGAAAGCCCGGCCGCTGTCTGTCTGTTGATCCGGGCCTGGGTTTGAATACACAGGAGTCAGAACGTGACAGCGGTACCAAAAACTGGGGACATCTTTTCGAGGAGCAGCCTACTCTCTGACTCCCATCAAAATGCCCATCACTACCTGAATGATTGAATCTGTCCCAAGCTCCCCAGAATCATTCCCCCTCCAACTGCGACCTACTGGCTCTTCTGATTAGGGATCCCTCCATTCACTCTGGTTCTGTGGACCTCCAATTAGCACCCCAGGGATAGTCATGAGTTCCCACAGTGCTTCAGCCTTCACTCTTGGCACCACCAAGAGCCCTAGCTGCCAATATATTGTATTGGTATACACCAAAATACCAGTATATTTGTTCTTTTTTAATGTAGTACAGTGCACCTCCGTGAGCATAGTTGGCAGGTGGCAGCCAAGCAGTATAGCAGCCTTTGGACCGCACGAACCTGCAAGTAAGGAGCTTGCTGAAAGACCTCTGATGCTCCAGCTCAGCAGAAATTCAGGCCTGGAAATCTACTACCCACTCATTCTAACTTGTGGGCTGTATACTGTAAAAAAAAGTGGCAGATTGAATTTGGTCTATGGGACATAGTTTGCCAACCCCTTATGCTACACTTTGAACAACCAACATGGTCAGTGAGGAAGAGATTGTTTCACTTCAGAACATTTGAGAGGCATAGCATTGCCTAATCTAGTATTATAGTCTGGGGAAGGCCTAAATGGATGTATGAAATACACTGTATTAGAAAACTATATGTTTTTTTATAGTTTTCTTCCTTTATGCTTTCAGAAGCAGAAACATATACGTCCAGAGCACAAATCCTACTATGCAATTAATACCGTTTATGTGTATGGGCAAGAGAAATACTTATTGGTAAGTTACTCATAACATAACATTTAAATTTGACTTTTCCCCTCTTATGAGGACTATTGACATTGTATTTTAATGGTATACATGCCCCCCCCCAGTTTTCCATTATTAGTTTTCAAAAGCATGCTTCAGATGCACAATGTTTATTGTGAACCTTTTTGTTACAATTTGAGTTTTTTACAAAAAAGGCATCTTTTTTTTTAAAACAAGTTTTATTGTTTTTTTTCATTTTACAGACAAGTGCTTAAGAAACAACGTGGTGGCAGGGCAATCAATTATTCACACAACAAAGTCATACTCATAGAGTTCAGATTAAATCATTAAAAACCCCTCTCTTTTCTCTCTAATAACATATTATATTCAAATTAATATATTTCAATACGACTAGATCAATCATATCAATCCTCAATAACTTTTCATCTAAACAGATCCACAAATCCAGATCCTGTATGAAGCTTACTATTTCAATTACTATATTCCATATTTCTAATCTAAGTACAGAGCTAACACTTTGGGAGTCTCCCCATTACCTTTTTCCTTAACATATTCAATAAACATTTATTAATATCATTTCTTTTTTTTCCCCTATTCCTCTTCCATTACAAAGTGACTATCAGGTTTTCGCGGGTGTTTGTATGTAGGTCTTTGGTTGTTCGGGTTTTCTCCCGCGTAAAATTGGAAGTGTCTTGGCGACGTTTCGACTTTGTCGAAATGTCGCCAAGACACTTCCAATTTTATGCGGGAGAAAACCCGAACAACCAAAGACCTACATATATTATATATATATATATATATATATATTAGTTCATATCAGAAAAGAAAAAGAACAAAGAAGAAAAAATAAAAACAAAACAGAAAAAAGTGAAAAAAGTACCTTTCTATTTCTATTATACTTTATAATCTAACAATCAATCCCTCAATATCTATATCACATTTCTTTAACCTCCTCAAAGTTACTATATCCAAAACATATTAATAAATAGACAAACACCTTATTAAGTTCAGACTTTTAATTAATTTTTATTCAATCTAACATCTTATTTAACTGTCTTAAGCCATAAATCAATCCATATCTAGTAAGCCTTTTAAACTCATTACATAAAACCTTAAATCACATTCTTAAATCTTATTCTAGCTTTCCTTTTATGCCAAACAGGTTTCCATAACAACGCCACTATATCAATAAACAAATCATTTTTTATGTCTTGTAGTATCCTTTGAAACAAACAAAGACGTCTTCTTTTCTGTTTTAGAGACCTAGCTCCTTTGTAAATAACCCCTTGTTGTTTGGAAAAATCAAATCTCCACGTTTGAAACTGTTGAATGGCCGGTCATTTACGTCCAACTTTGTAACTAATAGTTGTTTATCCAAGCTACCATAGTTCTCAGTTCGTTGGGCTTTTCTGTCCATTTCTGTTAGTTTTAGGGTTGTAAGTGGTTTAATTACAGTCCTTTTTAATTCCCCAGAGATCTCATCAGCCTGCATATGAAGTAAAATGGAATTTTCTTTACTTTTAGTTAATCCTGCTTCTGTTGTTTCTTGGTCCATAGAGTGCTCAGACAAAGTCTGGGAGTCAAGTTTGTAAATTCAGAGCAGAATTTCTGTTTTTTATTTCCATCGTGAATTCTTTTATTTGCAAACGTATTTCATCAGTAGCTTCATAAAGTTTTTCCAGTATAAGTTTATAGTCAAGTTGAACCAAAGGTAGCTCCATTTCAAAGATAATTAAAAACAGTCTGTATCATTTAGTAGAGGCTATGTTCAGAAAACATTTAATCAATGTCCACCCCCACCAGTACAGCTGTTAATTTTTTTTGTATTTTCCCTTTTATGGTAATCTGAAAATCAAGGTCAGTCCAATCCTCATAAGAGAAAGTTGCAATTTTAACTTTTTCCACGGTGTCCTCAGTACAATGTAAAATCTTCTCCCAGAGACCAGGAATCTCATAAACAAGATCAGAAAACACAGAAAAAAGAGGAATTCAAGTCCAATAGCAGATTCAATATTCACAAAATTTTCCAAGACCCCAAAGTGAAGGAGAAAAAAAATAAGAATAGAAAAAAAATCACTTTAAATTAATTCAGTCCATTTAAGCTTCTTTTTCCCCACACTCACAAACTCAGCCTTCTTAGAGTAGGGAAATCATTTGAAAAGTGCTCTTTCCAGGCACAAAAGAAAAAAGAAATCCAAGAGGGGAGAAAAAAAAGTCTCACCCGGCTCAGCCACGGTGGTTCTTGTGCTTAGATGTTCTTCTGACTTCTGGTTGCAGCGGCTAGATGAATGGCCATTTTACTGGCCGTTCTTTTCCACTGTTGGCCCAAAGGAGCTATCTCAGTCCTTGGAAGAAGCTGCCGCTCTCCCAAAGATGACGAGGACCTCCTCATCGGTAGCTACCCCTCCAAGGCGGCTTTTCGACCTGATTAAGGGTCTACCGGCAGCGGAGAATCAGCTGGTGAGGAGAGCCGTCTCCTCGCACAACTGCGAGCACCGCGATCCGGAACCGGAAGTCAAAATAGGCATCTTCTTTGTTTAATGAAGAGCTTAGCAGATTTATAGTATTATTTACTTAAAAATACATATCCTGTTCATGACAAGATTTTCCTAGGGCTGTTCATAACAGTTTAAGCTTTAAACAAGTTTTAGAATAATTAATATATAATATATAAATATTTAAAAATATAGAGAGCAGGGTAGCAAATATTCATAAAATGGATCTGTATTGTAATAAAGAAGATACATAATTTGAAATATTAGATTGGGGGCATATTATACAAACATCATCCGAACTCATTGTTGTGCTTGCCAGATCATTTCTGCCCATTGTATCGTAAGTTGAGGTTGAAGCTGGCACATCCTCACTCTGCTTGTCCTAGTTTTGGCTTAATAGTATGTCTTTGGAGACTGTTAAATGAATTGTACATTGCCTGAACAGTGTATGTACTGGCAATAAAATGTTGAGAAGCCTGTATCTGCGCAATATTGTGTGTGATGGTAGACACAGATATAATCCAATAAAAAAAAATTGCAGTACCACTTTGGGTTTTTAGGATTTTTTTTTAATACAGCACCTATTTGTATCCGACAGATTAAATTGGAAAAAGTTATGTGTTGGAATGAGTACAAAAAAGTAAATTTGTTACAGTGTTTGTAACTTTATAGTGTTTGACATTGATTTTCTTTTTCTTTCTAGTTACACAGTGTTTGTGAATCTGATTTCTTATGTGATGCTGAAATCATGTGTGATGTAGTCTGCCTAGTATACGATGTCAGCAATCCCAAATCATTTGAATATTGTGCCAGAATATTCAAGGTTTGTATCCTCATAGAAAATAATTGTGCCATAGAATCACTGATTTTGGGAAGAGCTGTATTGGCTATGGAATTCACCCCGGTCAGTATGAGAATCCACATTAAATCACATTAAAGTGTCCATGACAAGTGGATTTATTTACTAGATCCAAGGATCTTTGAAAAGCAACTATCTTTCTGAGAAATTAATTCTGATGGTGAAAGTTGTGTAGATCTTTTAAACATCTGAAAAAAAAAAAAAAATTGGACACACCTGCAGAGAAAACCAGCAGTTTGCTTATTCCATTTTGGTTCAAGGTAGTGACAAGGCTATTTCTGTTTGCTCAGAATTTTAAGATTTATTTTATTTTTATTTATTAATCAAATATACGTGGCTGCCCATCTCACAAGAAGTGACTCTGGGTGACATACAACAATATGTACATCTGTATATTTAGTCCATGTGGGATAGTACTTAAAACTAATGAAGGGCGAATATATGTGTCCCAGGATAATGTTGCAGGATCCAATCTGGGTCGGTCATAGGTACCAGAAGTTTTGTCTTCCGAGCTTTCCAACTTGTGCAGGAGACCCCATCCTCAGGGAACTTCTCTCTAGCAGAATGTGTGTCTCTATTGTTAGCTGCATTATCTGTTAGCTGCATTAACTGTTGCTTAATGACTTTCAGTTAAAGAGGGAAACTTAATTCCAATTTTGCTGTGGAGTAAGGAGGAGCTAATTTCTGCTATATATTCTATTAGGCTTCCATTTCTAGCATACTGGAGAAGAGTTCTCTGAGGGTGGCACGAGTCCAAAAACTTGGAAGACAAAACCTCTGGGGCTGGTGACTGACCCAGATTGGATCCTGATACTTAAAACATTCACCATTAGACAATGGGAGTGTTAAATTCCACATTGGGCTGACTAACACCAAGCCAATCTTTTTCACACTCTGGGTTACTTACTTCACAAAATGGCTGTGAATCTATAGTAGGAAAAAAGACCCACGATAACTACATGTGGTATACATGAACCGAATGAAAGAAGGATGGCATGTACATTTAAAAAATATAGATTGCGCCCTGTCCTCTGAAGGTATGGCAGACTGTTGAATTTACTAATCACAGCTCTGTAGATTTTAAATCTATGTATTTTATGGAAGTTGGTAGATACCATTTATTTCATTTTTATTTTAAATCCCTAGCAACACTTCATGGACAGCAGGATCCCTTGCTTGGTGATAGCTGCCAAGTCAGACCTACACGAAGTTCGGCAGGAATACAGCAGTTCTCCAGCTGACTTCTGCAAAAAACACAAAATGCCTCCGCCCCAAGCCTTTACTTGTAACACCGTTGATGCACCAAGTAAAGATATCTTTGTTAAACTGACAACAATGGCCATGTATCCGTATGTATCCAGAGCACCCTTCTATTCATACTGCATGGATCATGACAGTGTTGCATGCTGTGGTTGCCATAAGGATGGAACTCTGTGCCCCAATGAAATTGTGTTTAGCAACAGAGGGAGATGTTAGTGATGGATATAAATGAAGGGAAATGACCTAAAATTGGCAGAAAAGTATAAGTACATATTTAAATTTTAAAAAAATTTGTATGCACAAGATTTGACATATTATCTTTTGACAGAATCTTTGAAGACTGGGACGAATTAGATTTAGTTCAAAAGACATGGGGTTCGATTCTCTCCATATACGCATGTATTGCATTGCTCGTTACCATTACTCATCCATTAATGCAAAATTGTGAGTCTGTGTCCCAAAAAGAGTGGACCTTTACATGCTGAAACAAAATAGAAATAACAGTTTTGTGTAAAGTATTAATATTTTTTTAAAATTCATCAATAAATATTTATATCTTCCTAAATAGATAAGAAATTGATTTTCAGGTATACGTATAAATATGGATCATTTTGTTCTCATCAGCTTATTCCTCAGCATGCTTTATTATTCGGCCTGTGCCCATTTCCTTAGTAAGTCTTTTTACATAAGATCCAGGATCCGAAAGGATCGTGAAATTGGTTCTATGTGCCCACTAGGTCTTTGGTTTGAGAAGTAGCTCTCTCCATATGACAAAGTAGAGGATTATGTGAAATGTTTCATCTCAGAGTGTTCTGATTTTGGAACAGGCCCACGTTGAGGCCCATTTTGAGTGTTCTAACATTGGAACAGGCCCATGTTGGAAGAACTCGTTTTAAGTTTGGGACATTGCATGATGGAACATTTTGCAGATTGGCAAAGCGCTTCTATATATTAAATTGCTGCTATTTTGGAAATGTGGCATTAGAGCAGACATGTCAAACACAAGGCCCGGGGTCCGGATGCGGCTCACGAAGTAGTTTCATGTGGACCGCGAAGCCATCCTGGAAACAGGGAACGGCCCCCGCTGCCTTGGCCCTGGCCCTAGCCCAGGCCAGCCAGGAGCCAATGTACAATTTTGTGGTGGTCATCTATGCTGAAACGCATTCAGTCTTAGCTCCACAAGGCCACCTAGAAACAGTGAGGAACCAGCCCCTGCCGTGTCGGCCCCGCCCCCTGGGTGCATGCTGGGGAGGTGTCACCCTTTGTGAGGAATAAAGAAATGGACCATGCCTTGGCGCTTGCCCTGGTCCCACCCCCTTCTGCCAGAGACCCTCAGATCTGTCCCACTCCTGCCCAGGCCCCCACAGGCACCCTTGACGTGAACGATGTAGAGCTGGCCATGCCCACCCAGTAGGCCACACCCACTGCATCCACACCCACCCAGTAGGCCACACCTACCCTGACCACAAACACACACCCCAAGGGCAACCGCAGTGCTGATGCGGCCCTCAATGAAACTGAGTTTGACACCTCTGCATTAGAGTCTGCTATTCTAAGCAAAAAACAAAAAATCAGAAAAAAATGGATAAAAAGATGCTGCTCAGCTCTCCGTCAGCTGGTTACATTTTGTAATAGTGAAGATGAACGATAGCAGCATGATTCTAGGGGACAGTTCTTATTTGAATTGTAAATGGATTAATTTCCCCTGGAGACAATTAATTAACAATCTGTTTCATCTCAGGGAGTTGCTTCTGCTTTGAATGATTCTGCTTGCTTTTCTGAATTTCAGCCCCTAACTGACTACAAGGAAAAATAACCCCTCTAAAGTGTATTTGAATTTAGCATTCCCTTAAAATTGTTGAAAGGTACAAATATTCTAATTAAAGAACTTGCTGTGATGAGCTTCATAACAAGGTAGACTAGGTACACTACGTGTTACCTGATTAGAGCTTTTTAGCAGTCAACTTTATAGATACCTTTCAGTTCACTTAGCTACAAAAAGCTGTATAAAATAATGCTATCGCAGTCTATGTGTTTAACAGTATCTCATAATATACTAAAAAAAGTGGGGGAGGGAGGATCCTTTCTTTTCAAGGCATCCTTATACTAAAGCAAATTGACATGTATCATTGCTAAAATGGAAACCTTTAATTTTCCTTTGAAATGTTCCTCTCCTTTCTTTCCAGTCACCCAGAGAAGAACCGCTAGACGATAGTCTCTTGCTTATTTGTCTCTCTCAAAAATACATGCTGCTGGTAAAATTGAACAGTCGGTGTTTCGTGCCTTGTAGAGAATTGTCAAGCTTGAAACGTATGATCTTAAAGGTTGCTATTACTCACTAAGCATCTCGCTCTGTTGCCAAGCAAGCCCACTCTGCAGTCTCTGCATTTGACAGGACATATCTTTCCTGCAGGATTCAATTTAGATGTCCTTCAGATGGCAGATTCAGAATGGTGCCATAGGCCGATATTAAGTGCATCCTAAGGCTCCACATTGTATGCTCCACATTGTATATATCCCTGGGTAACTATGGCTCTGCTAGAATATAGGCTTCCTAGTTGTTTCTGCAAAAGGAAAAGTCTATGCATGGCAACCTCTATTTCAGGCCTTCCACCCCCCCCCCCCCAAAATTTTTTTTACATGGCAAGAGTTTGCTCTTGTAGCCAGGAATTGGAAATACGCTGCCTTTAAATATTGACTTTCTATTTATAGCTCTCTCATAAATAGCTATTGACCTAAATTCTTCTTTAAAAATAAAAAGCCATCACCACCATCTTTCTGTACTCAATTAGAGCACAGGGAAGCATCTTGAAGGTGCAAAGATCAGTGCTGCTGGGTGGAAGCTTTCAGTTGTTTAGTGAAGGTAAAGTTGCTTCTGTGCTTGGAGAGTCCAGTTTTGAGGGGGGAAAAAACAACATCTAAATTCAGGAAATTCTGCTCTTCTTAATTTATTTTTGGCAACCTGGAATATTTAAATATTTGGAGAAATCTAAGCAGTAGTGTATTTGACTTTCTTCCCTTGATTCTCTTAAGCATGTGTATGTTTGATTGGGATGCCAGAGGTAAGGGTAGCTGTTGCTTAATGACTTTCAGTTAAAGAAGGAAACTGAATTCCAGTTTTGCTGTGGATTAAGAGGAGCTGCTTTCTGCTCTGCATATTCTGTTAGGCTTCCATTTCTAAGTCCAAATGTGAGTGGAAAACGGATTGTTTTCTTTGCTTATGGGGATGCTGGCGTATCAGCACAGTTCCTTAAAATACGCTCCTCCTGGAAATCTGCACAGCTTCACTCTACCCTTGCCTCACGTCCTGATTCCCCCAAATGTTCCCGGTTCCTATTTCTCTTGGTTTTGGCTCGGATTTCTCATGGTTTCTGCCCAAGGTCTCAACTCCTGTCCTTCTGTGTGTTTTCGCAGCCATGCCCGGTTACGCTGTATGTGCACCTGCAACAGGTGTACATTTTGCATCTGTCAGAACCTCCTCAACTCAGACTTGCTGCAATCTGTAAAGAACAAACTCTTCACTGCAGTTCTTAACAGGTCTTTGATTTTATTTACTAGGTAACCAGCTGTGCTTGGAAATTACATGAATGAAACCGATTGCTGAACTTTGTAAACCGACAGACCCGTCACACCATATCCATTGAGCAGCCAAATGTCCCGCCATTTATTGAGTTATTAATGCTGGGTGGCTTATGGGTAGCACAAAATAAAAATAGAAAAATTAAAAGAAAAAAAATAACCAGGCCCCAGTAATAGCAGCCAGTAACACATCGAGGGAAATAGTCCTAACAATAATAATTGCTTATTGCAAGGAAGAACTGCTATATCATCAAGCCTTAAAGGCTTTCTAAAATAACCAGGTCCACTTTTCCGACCACCAACAATGTTGGTGTGGCCTTGGCTTTGGTTGGAGCATCTTCCAAAGCAGATGGGCAGGTCCTGGTGGTCCTTGGCTCTCAAGGATGTGACTTCAAGGGGGCCTTCCTTTCTAGAAGTTACTGGGTGGATAGAAATGGCTGGGAGAACACACTCCCTTTGTAAATAATAGTTTTTCTGTACTCTTCAAGGTAACAAATCTTGAAGCACATCAGTCTTGACCACTTGGCATCAGTTAGAGGAGCTGAGAATTGGCTTATGAAAGCAATAATCTTTCTAGTCATTCAGAAGTAATTGCCAGGGGAGTCTTCATCAACTTATAGTTTTCTTACTGACTCGGAGAAAGGAGTCAAGCCTCATTTCTCCATCCATAAAATCAACTAGTCAATGAGTCAACGCGTATCTCTGAAACCATGGCTTTGCCTCTAAGTTGACAATCAAAAAAATTAGTTGATTTTTTGGGGGAAAGATACACAGAGAGAGAGAGAGAGAGACAGACAGAGAGAGACAGACACACACACATACACAATGACACAAACATTCTGGATATTACATTTACTTCCAGCATTCAAAATATATACATTTGGTCCTTATAAATGAATATGGTGTGATACGATCTGTGGCATTTTAACAACTAAATCAACCCTCTTTAACAAAATGCTACTTTTTTTTTTCATTTTAAGAATGCACAATGATTCTCTGCTCAGGATATTCCAGTGTATTGGAAAGGAAATTCAAGATAAAGAAATACTTAGTTTAAAAATGTTCCTTGTCTGAAACAGTACTGCATCGCACTAATACCACATTGCAAATTATTTCAATGTTTTCATACAAACAAAAATGGGTTTAATGGGTCCTTTATTAAATGCATGGCTCCATTTGTGGCAAATTTGCCCAAGAAATGAATGAGAGTTCAAAGGAAATTTTTTTTCAGTGATATTGCAATTCCTTCTATGCCAGCATTATTATTTTATGTCCTGTGATTATGCATTTTGAACTATAAAGTTGGAATACATTAATGTCTGCTCCTCTATGTGTGGAGGAATGTAAAAGCATTCAAGTAAGATTCCACTGTGTGATTTGTTCATTCCACCAGTGGCTGGGAATTATATTAAGGGATTATATTTTTTGTCTGTTTAAGGGCAGGGGCTATCCATTTAGTCTCCCCTATAAATTAGGCAGACTGATAAGGAGATCACATTGATCCCTGTACTGTGCTTGACAGAAAGGCAGACATAGCATTATATTGTAATAGAGGTCCTCAGATCTTGGCAATCCTTCCATTTTTTATGGTAGGCACTCAGAAAATCCACAAAAACAGAAAGTCAGGAAAGATGGATCTCTCCAAGTCAGATAAGTAGAAACTGAATTTTGAAGAAAAGCCGCTTCCCATCAATCCCTGCTTAATGTCCTGTCTTCATCCTGAGAGAGAGGCGGCTGTTAGAAAAATATTTTTCTTCCATTTTTCCCTCAGCAAAGGAGCTGCATGCACACAGCTAGGAACAGCATCCAGCGCAGCTGTGTGGCCCTAGAGAAAGCTTCAATTAGGAGTGAAGAGGCTATTTGGTACTTTCCCACTATTCTGAATCACTTCTTTAGAGAATCTGTATGATGCTAATATATCCCTGAAATAAAAAAATGCAAGAAAATCATAGGTAAAATGGCTGAAAGGAATTATACCATACTGTTAAAAATGCCTTCTATGCCTCTTCATTGGAGTAGAATTATGGTAAAAAAAGAGTGCTTATGTTTTAAAAACGATCTGCACTTGAAGATGATTCCTACTCATTATTTTGAATATGACATAAAATAGTAATTTAATATCCATCTTAGAGCAGCTGAATCAGGCAAAAACTCCATCCTCCATTAATGTATTCATTCCCCTTTAAAGCCATCCAAGTTAGTGACCATTCACCACTGTGGACTGTACTTTTTTTGGTCTCTCCTAAATCATCTTCCAGTCAGTTTTGAATATGATCTCTGATCTTAGTGTCCTAACAGGGAGAAAAATGACCGTCTACTGTCTTTATGTAATATATGATTTTATACACCTTGATCACATATTTCTCAATCTTGGTTATCATTTTTATAAGCTAAAGAACTCCAAACATTCTACTTCCTTCTCACAAGGAAGGTGTTCTAGCTGGCTGATCATTTTGGCTTCCCTCTCTTGCCTTTTGCATTTGCTCATACCTTCTTTCAAATATGGTAAGGAGAACCATACAAAGTTTGCCAGATGCTGGCACACCATAGATTTATCTTAGGGCTCAGTGTTGATGGTTTTATTTTCATTCCCTTTCTTAATGAATCCTTCTTGGCATTTTTCACAGGTGAAACATTAGGTCAGCAACTTCACTGAAATATCCTTTACAACCTTCAGATCTTCTTCCTAATATATTACAGCCGCTTAAAGCCCATCAGTTTTAGGCCACCATATGCATCACTCTTCACTTAATTGACCATTCAACCACTTCAAACAGCTTTCTTTTTCTGATCCATTTTTTAAAACTTTTTTTTATCGATGTATAAAATACAGATAAAAATAAAAATAGAAAATTAAAGGAAGAAAAAAAGAAAGGGGGAAAGAAAATATACACTTAATAACCTTTATAAACTATCACCATTTGTATTAACAAAATTCACTGTATTCTTTGATTCTTTAACCCAGGGATCCCCCACCCCTGGTCTGTGGACCAGTACCGGGCCATAGCATGCCAGCAACCGGTCGGCAGAAACAAGCAAAGCCCTATTCACAGAATGCAGGCAGCCCCCTCCGGTCCATGGAAATACCTCTCCACTTAACTGGGGCCCAAAAGATTGGGGACGTCTGCTTTAACTTTAAAGGGAAAATACTTTTTTATCCATTTTAAAACACTAAGCTTGTCTTTAAAAACATTTCTAAACTTCCTCTTAATATACTTTAAAGTTCACTTTCAGACCAATAAAATTCCAACTGACTCCAATTAACTCATTAAATTTAGATCACTCCTTCCAAGTTATCCCCATAGAATTTTTTTTCTTGTATACATTCTTTTTAAAACTAAATTTTTCTTTAAGCTAATACATCTTTTTCTTTAACTTTCTCTTAACATAAATATTTTCAAATATACTTTCAATAATATTTTACAAACTTTAGGAATTACTTAAGCATTATATATAAAGGAAAAAATACATTTTGAAACTTTAGATTAAGGCTTTATTTCAGTTATAAATATCAGACTGATGAAAATTCCTCCTAATTCAAATTGGCTCATTAAGTTTAAATCACTCCTTCCAGCTTGTCTTCATAGAATAAAATCCCTTTCTTTTCTGGAATGTTTATCAAGTAGTCATACACTTCTCTTTTTCTCAAGGGTTTTTCAACCTTAATGTCCATGAGGAAAAAGTCCCAAACTTGTCCTTTTAAAAGTTGCAAATTTTCTTGGAACTCTTCTTTCAGTTGTGTTGGGAAGTTTATATTTAAACCATCATAATAAAAATTGGTATTGGGTTTATATTCCAAAATTACAGTTGACTCCTCTGCATTGTCAGCTACTTGTGAAATTGCCTTGGTGGTTTGGTAACTTTTTAAACATATTTGCATCTCTGAAGTAGTTTGAGTAGTTTTTTTAACATCCTTGGAGCATAGCTGATCTACAAACTGATGGGTTTTATTTAAAGAATTTTCAAATATATCTCTAATAATTTGCTGCTTGGTCTGCTTTGCTCTAATAATTTGTAGTTTGGTCTGCTTTGCTGTGGGTGGCCAAAATTTCCTGGCTTTTATGATTCCTGATTGGTCAGAAATTATTAAGTGTCTTACAAAAAAGCTACTCTTTGACTAAAGAAGGAGTTAAGAACATCTTCTTAACTCCCTCTTTAGTCAAAGAATAGCTTTTTTGTAAGTCACAAGAATTGCTGACCAGTCAGGAAACATAAAAGGCAGAAAATTTTGGCCACCCACAGCAAAACAGACCAAGCTACAAATTACATAAATAATAAACTAGAAACACAATTTTCTGCCCTTATATTTCTTCATTCATTTTTTTAAAAAACGATAATCCACACTTCCTTATTTTAGCTTGCCTTAGCAGCTTTCTTCTTCGTTATTTAACAAGAAGAAATCTCCATCAAATGGTGCAGATCTTCAAAATGAAATAACAGGCTGTGGTTAAAGAAAACCTCTTTTAGCTTAATAAAGATTAATAATCCTTAAAAATGATTTAAGAAATAAAAGGTACAACTTACTGTCCGTTTGAAAAATAAATTCCAAAACGACTTCTTTTTCAACAATGAACTGATTACAAGCCCCCCCCCCCGTCAGCATGCAAGGTGCTTCAAAGCACAGCTCCTGAAGCTACTTGCAGATCTGTTTGCTGTATTGGAGGATCTTGTGGGATGATTCTAGGACTTTCCCTAACCCAGGAGAGTCATATAAACTAAAGGAATGCAAGTTCCTTCTGTTGATAAGTTGAAGAAGCTACATTCCAGGGAAAAACCACTCAGGGATCCTTCCCTGGGTGTGTCATTAGTGGACCATCTTTTCACCGGAAGTCCCTTTTTCTGATCCAATTTTGGTGATGATGATGATGATAATAAACAATTTTATTGTCACTTTGAATGTACACCAATCGGCATACATCAAAATGAAATTTTGTTGCATACAGCTCTCAAAGGGTCACCACTTGCAATATAGACTCCTTATTCGTGGCCAGCTCAAGTTTCAGAACGTCCATTTTAGTCTCTAGGGAGCGAATGATGGCAAACAGGGCAGATGGAAACCTAGCTCCATGTGGATTAGCCCTCAAATTAGCTTGTATTCCTTCGCAACAACCTCACCTCCTTTTTCTGATCTTGTCTCTTCCACCTTTTCCTTAAAGGGGCCTCGCTCCTTTTTGCCCCTGGAGCACACTGCTGCTGCCTCCAACTCCTCCAAAAGCCTCTCTCCCTTCCTCTGGGCCTGCTGACAGCCTCATCCAGTTTCTTCACTCCATAAGCCCTGGGAGGTCTCCTCCTCTTCCTCCTTCAGAAACAGCCCTGATTTGCAATAGAATCTGTCACTGTGCCAGCAGTCATATCTTGCTGCCGGCAGAACAATTTCAAATAGTGCAAACGACTTTTAATGGTCTCACCAACAGTTCCGAAACAGCTAAAAACTTGCCATACCAGCAAAGATTGTCGGCCGTATGTTAACTTAGTCCCACCACGTGGCTCAAACACATTAAAACCTTCCCGATCATGGGGCCCATATCCCTTATATCCCTCCAAACACTTTTCACCTTCAATACAACCGCAGCCGATCCAGGCGCTGCCATCTTAGAAAATGATAAGTTGTGACAAGCTGCAGTAGTACCTGTCCAAACTGTTTAGGACCTTAGGTGATAAGTGCTTTATGTCAAACTTTCACATAGTTTTCTAAGATAAATCAGACAGTTTAGCTCTAAGCTTCTCTTGGGCCAACCATATTTAGGGGAAAATAGATTAGTTTACTCTCCTCAGTGTCAAATCAGTTTAAGTGAAATATCCAAATATCATTCCAATTTCATCCTCTCTAAGCCAAATAGAATAGATCAGGGGTGTCAAACTGGCAGCCCAGAAGCTGGTTGCATCATGCGGTGGCCACACCCACGCCAACTCTGGCAATGCAAAAAAAGTCGCGACACGTCACGTGACGCAGCGAGTTTGACACCCGTGGAATAGATACAAAGGTCTGATTTAATAGTGTAAAGCATTCAACCAACCAAGTAAAAAAATCACTGAGAGACCTTATCCTTAACCAGCCTTTCAGATGCCTTTTTGGAAGATTGCCATCCAAAAATATGAAATCCAGAAAGCTGTGGAACACACTGAAGAAATTATAGATTTGTCCACGTTGTTTGAGGCTTTTTAAGATTAATTCACGATGGACCTAAAGCTTAGACTTGAGGGCTGACTTGGAAAAAGCCACTTGATTCTTAGCTTAGGGTTCCCGTGTAATGGTAGAAATTATCTTTATTCAAAAATGTCTTGCAGAAGTCTGTAGCTGTAGGCGAAATAATATTATGGGTCATGTTGGGTCACAGAAGCATTCCCTTCCTCTGATATCCCTAAAGCAGTGTTTCCCAAACTTGACAATTTTAAGGCATGTGGACTTCAACTCCCAGAATTCCACAGCCAGCAATGCTGGCTGTGGAATTCTGGGAGTTGAAGTCCACATGCCTTAAAATTGTCAAGTTTGGGAAACACTGCCCTAAAGTATTTGCTATCTGGCCCTTTTGAAAGCGAATGAAATTTCGTGCTTGCTTGTGAATTTCTGATTTAGAAGGAAGATGTTTAGGTTCACCTGTTACGGTGGCACTTGGGCATATGACCTCTAAGGAAGGATAGGATCTGTTCTGTTTCTCTCCCCATCCATTGCATCATCCTGTGATGTGATTGATCCCCTCCCCTCTCTCTCTTCTCTGAACCTTGAGCTCTTGAGTGTTTTTTAATAATTTTAAGATTATTTTAATATAAAAATAGTATTTCAACAGAAATGTTGCTCAGTGCTGCATCTAATTTAGTTTGAAGATGGTTGTTAGCAGAGAGCTTTGTAAGTTCTCTTGTATGGTGACTGAGAAAAAAGTTCTTCCTTGTTCTCCCTGAGACATCTACCTAACCTAGAGGGATGCTTTTTTTCCCAGGCTAACAACCAGCACTAGCCTTCTCTCCAGACAAACAAAATCAGTGGCAGTCTCAGTAGGGCCTATTCAGTCTTGAGCTATTAGAGCTGTTAGAGCTACTTACACTGCTTGGAAGATGCAGCCCCTATTTTTTTCATATGTGATGTCCTAATATTGCACACGACATGATGGATGGATGGAGGAGATCACACAGTCAAAAATACAGTCTGTTATCAATTTCTTTGGAGCTGAGTATACTATAACATGAATTTCTTTTTATACATTACCCTCCAGATTGCCCACATTTCAGTGGATAGCACGATTGTTATTAGGCATTTTTTGCACAGCTGTGGTGGAGGGTTGTGTTGGTTTCACTAACACAATGTAGTTATTATACATCTCTTCTCAGAAGTTCCAAGAAGATTAAGAGAGGCCAATTTTATTTTGAATGCCCTACAAAGTGAAGCTTAAATGAGTAAGAATCATTAATGTTTTAAAAATGGATTCCAATGAAGAAGATCCATTCCACTTAAAAAGGGATTTATTGACCTTTGGTCTAGAAATTTAATCAGATATTATACTTACTAGAAACAGGAAATGATAAGAGAGTAATAGTAAATTTCCTGTCATTATGAGAAAATTAAAGATAAAAACTAGAACTTTTAACAAGGGCTTTACCTTTCACTTGAGGCAGAGAGATCTATCATTATAAAGTTAGGATTTCATTTATTGTGAAAGTGACTCCATTGAGAGACATAGATTGTTGACTTAAACTGCCCAGGCTTCAAAAGGAGGGGGTTGTACATAAAGCAATATATACTGCACATAATTTAGGAAAAGAAAATATTTGACCATACTGGATTATTTTGATTTAATTTGTTTTTTCCTCTAGGTCTTCGTTTTCATTTCTCTGGCTGGCACTTACACTCCTCTTGCTGCATTCCTGTGCATCCTTTTAAAAAAAAATTACATTTCTAAGTATATTTTCTAATTCATTGTGTGCTTTCAAACCATTGGCTTGGCTTTTGCTTTTTGGCTATTTGCATGTGCCATGAATGGTAAAGACTGATTTACTATTTCTGCCTCTGCCTCATCATCTTAAGAACAAAAGAAAGAAAGCTCGTACCTCTTATAGGGTTTTTAAAAATGTAGTGAAAATATCCAAAGACGCTTTTTTGAAAGACAACTGGACTTCTTTCCTTGAAGATGTTTAGCTCCTCATCCAAGAAGCTTCTTCAGATCCGGGAAAAACCAAGAAAGGCCAGTTGCTTTTGAAAAAGCACCTTTGGGACAACCATGACCTGGATGATTGAGAATCTCCATAGACATTTAATGTTGAAATCCCCAAATGTTTGAGCCAGTTAGAGTCAAGAGTTCTAGAATATGTCATGGGCATGCTCACAAAGTAATTATTTGTTATCTTTGGGGGGAGGCGTCAAGAGGGCACATATAATCTTTTTCCTATTTTTCCACATTGAAATAGAGCAGTACGTCAAAGGGGCAAGGTGAGTTTTCATGAGTGACGGTAGATTTAAAGCTGGATCTTGCTGGTGACAGCCCAATACCACTGTACCAACATTAAGTCTCCTGAGTCCCCTAGAGGGCATAATGAGGATCACAGCACCCATTTATCTTTTCTAGGCAGGCTGACCCACTTCCAAAGAAAGCAAATAAATAGTGGGTCAGCCAGCCACAATTTTTAATTTCTATGAATGACTTTGGTGCCTCAGCTTTTCTCCCTTAGAAATAAAAATGGCAGCTGAAGTCGGATGTTTGTTGGATAATGCTTGCTTCCGTTTAATTTTTAAAAATCACAATAATATTTAAAAAGTCATGGGAAGAGAGCCTGAGAGGCCTCTGGATAAACATCATCCTGCAAGGTTGGGAACATTAGTGAGCTATGTTGCTGGATCAGTTCGAAAAGGGAAATCTCCATTGGAGAGTAGTCTGTGCATCTGATATTGTCTTATTCCAAAATACATTTTTGGTAAACAAAATACAAATTTTGGTGAGATGATTTAATTTAAGGATTTAATTTGAGTTCATGGAAATGAATCTGATGAATAATTGAAAGAATCTTACTATAAATAATTGAGAGAAAGAAACAGCTAATTACATAATATTGGGATTACACACATATACATGCACACACACACACACACACACACACACGCTATGCTGGAAAAGAGTTTTATCCATACTGATTTTTCCCCATACAATTTGTCCTATGTAGTTTTGTAGAGAATTCCTCCTGTATCAGGGCATTCCAGTCCTTTGGCTTCTTAATCCACAAGAGCCTTGTCCTTGTGTGTGTAAGCCTCTTTCACACCATGTTCCTGATCTTTCTTTGATGTCCCCTTAATCATGGGATTAGCCTTTATTTGATTCTTACTCTGCTGGGCTCCACATTAGGTATATTTTCCTGGCAAGTGAGTAGGAGGCAATAAGGCTATTCTATCTATATTTGCAAATAGCATATGTAAGCCGATGTGTACCCATTCTTCATAGGGGGCAGGTTTTGGCAAAAAAGGATCTGTGTGTACGTTCCTGTTAATTCAATAGGTAAAGGCTGCAAATGCAGAGACATTTTTTTTTTAAAAAAAGCATTGTCTAAAGACAATTTCAGCACTGATTAGCCAGTAATTAAAATGTATTACTTTATGGTTGGTACTATCAGATAAGATGCCAACATATTTTCATTTTAAGCGAATGAAAGATAAAATCTAAGATAGAATCATTCCAATGCAACTTATTATACTGGGGGGAGGGTGACACTGATTTTGACATTTGATGCCAGATCTCTTAATATATAGAATTCTCCAGTGCAGGAATTCAGGAGTTCTGTTGCAAATTTGTGACAATGGGATAAGAATTCAACAATATACCAAACAAATAGCTGTCTTGCTTCTACGTGTTCTTTTTTTTTTTTTTTGTCTCTAGTAACCGTGCAAACTTAATAGTTCCTCTCTGCTAATTTTTTGAATCAATATGGAATTGGTTTATATCTTGTCAATTTATGCGTTTGAGCCCAGTGACTAATGTTGAAATAATAGATGGCTAAAAATTAATGCGATGAAAAGAGAGGCAGCAAATACACTTTTTGCTCATGGAGCCAACTCAAACAAGGTTTTCTACTCAATTGTGTGTGTGTGTATTATGCTTTAGCCCCCCTCCCCCCTATCATTATCTCTTTAGATAAATTGCATTCCCAGCAGTCTTGTCACACATTAATTTTGAAAAATAGTTCTGAAATAAAGAACTTCATTTATGAAAGGGTATTTATTGGCCCATAGATAATTTTAATTTATTTTGTATGCTTCATATATAAATATCTGAAGGTGAATCCCCAAAGTGTGAAGAGATTAACAGAATTAGGACATGCTGAGCTATGCCTGAGGCAAATATGAAAGGGCTGGTCTTCTGGGGTTCCCTTTCCTCTGCATGTTAGAGAAGAAGAGCTTAGAAATGCTCATTTCTGCTTTGATTGACCATGCAGGCTGACAAACTGAGTTTAATTGCAAACAAAGAAATATTAAGTTGTGGCTTGCTTTTTTTTTTTTAAATGGGCTTGTTCAAAATGGGTCATTGTTTATTTTAATCACAGTTTTGGAGTTCTGACAGTTTGGTAAATTACAGTTAAATTACGAGTGGAGGGCAACCTTTTAACATTTTTTACTTCCTGTAAAAGGAAGGAAGAGGGAGAGAGAGAAAAAAACGAGAACAACAGCATTTGGAAGTGGGGTAGCTTTTTAGTGTCTCTCTAAATCACAAGTATGTGAATTTCCTTTTGAGCTTGAAACAATTACTTCCCAGCTAATAGCAACCCTGAACATAATTAATTGATAGGGCATGCATAGGCATTTTTACTTTAGTCTGTGTGCCTGATTTTAAAAAGTAGTTAGGATCCTCCTTCTACGCTTCCAGGATGGGATGTAATATTGGAGAGAAATACCTGTGCTTCTTTAGTAATGGGAGGCGAGAACTTTGTTAGCCCCTAGCTATCTCTCCCTAGCCAGATCCCAGATGGTTTTTTGTGAGGAATTGCCTAGTTTTGGAATGGTCAAACGCTCCAATCAAAGTGCCCCTTTCCCAAAGGCTTTTGTATGAAACAGGTGCTGTGCAGGAATTTGCTAGCATAACATTCTGCTCGCCACTATCCAGCATTGTGTTAGACCTGGTCTTCAAAAGTGCATGTCTACAAAAATATAATTCAAAAACAAAACAAACTAGAAGAAGAATAATTCTGGGAAAAAGGGGGTTTCTCTCACGTGGGATAGAAAAAGGAGAAACTTTGGTGAAAGATTGATATCTCCTTGGGACCTGTCACTAATTTCCATGCTACTTTATTAACCTGCATCTTACAGCCAAAACTTTCTGATTAAAAATGGATATTGAAACTGATTGTAAGCCATATTGATGTGTAACTTCCTGTTCTGAGCCATGCTGTGAACTGCCATCTGTGTGCATGTGTGCAAAAAGGTTGAGAGCCCACATAGATGAGCTGGGTGCCTTGCTGTTGTCAGATGAGGAGAGCAGCATTGTTCACCAAGTACATGCCGTCAGCTCGGTAGAGGATTCCATCTTCATGGAGTCATCCCTTGGTCCACAGCTATTGGAAGACAGGTAACTCACTCTTTATAGAGGAGAAATCTAGTAAATGACTTGCTGTGAGAGATTGGAAAGAACTAACCTGTCAGTATCTATTGCCTAATGATCTCTTTCAGATCATATCCCTTAAGAACCAAACTTTGAAATTAACTGCAGATAGTTTTGTACTTGCCGGCTTCACTGATTGCTAGCAGTAATCAAGCAAGGCTGTTGAATTTGCAAAACGCTACCTGTATTGTTGCCTGGATGTCTGAAAAGAACACCCATTTTGGCCTGATAAACTGGACAATGCCATTTTCCAGATTTTCTCCAATTATGGTTTTGTCCCAGTCTTGTTGCAGCTGGGTCTCAAAAGTCTTCATGCTCTCCCCTGAATACCCAGTTCAGATGATGGGAGAAGAGCTAGAGGCAAATAAATTGAAAAAGTGTTATTTTTTAAGATAATAGTTGAGAGGGTTTTTTTTTCCTGTTAAAGTAACAGTTTCTCTTATAATAATCAGGTTATGTTTCTTTCAGGGATAATTCTCAATTCTGGGTCTTTCTGTATGTGCTGCCATTTTGTGAATGGCTGATTCAGTAATCTTCAGCCCTCTTAAGTGGATGGTAGAAATTTTGAGGATCTCTGGTAATAATATTTTACAGTAGTTCTTTAAATTATATTTTGGAATGTGCTCTTCTGAAGGTAATGGTGTATACTTTTGTAGGTTCCCCATTATTTCTGATTTAGTTTTAAAAGTGCCTAGGGTAGGGAATTCTTTCTTGTGTTCTATTCTGTAATGCAGTCCTATATCAATTCTGTAATACTCAATTGAGAATCACTGTGCCTTGAACTAAGGTCATTGTAAAAACTCCTTGCTGATAGCTTTTTATCTGTTGCATTATGGTCGGCTGTGTTTTTCATGAAAGCTAACTGAGCATGCTCACAAGCTGGCATGCTGGCAAGCTTGGGTCATTGTTTTTTGTTTAATTTTTGCTATTTTGATCTTAAATTTATAGTTTTCTTTCATCCTCCATACTGTTCTGTTGCATTTTGGTTTCACCTGTTAATATCTGTGTTTCATTAACTATTTGGTGTGCCTAATGGTTTTAGTGTGTGGTGGTGTTCAAGATTATTTTCCGCGGTTAGGCCTTCTGCCTTTGGATAGAAACAGCACAGCAAAGAAACTAGTACATAAAGTCACTTGGGTAGTTAATCTGAAGGGACAACTTTGGTGAAAATGCTGACTAATAAGCAATACAGCATATATTAGGTTTTCCTTCTCCAGTTGGGTCATTGATTTATTGACTGAAATTTATTGGCCACCCAACTCCAATGGACTCTGGGTGGCGTATAGAACTATATCAATATATGTGTACATTTACATTTAAGTCATCTTTATTTAGATGAGTCTGGAACAGTCATTCATTCCTTAATTAGATTGTTAGTCTTTTTACAAACTACAAGTTAACAAGCTATGCACTGCCCTATGCTCAAGTCTTCACCACAGTATAAAAGCAATTGGCTTAATATCGTGAGATAAGCCTAAATATGATCTGTTTACTTTATGTTGCTGGGAAAAGTGAATGGAATTACAGATCAGTCAGATTGACCTGTTAGCTGAGTTGAAATATAAGCCTTATTTTCTGAAGAGAGATAGAGCAATCCTACATTACATCAAAAACATTTAGTTCACAAATGCCTTAAAAGCGTACATGGTAGATCTCTGAAAGTGAGCTTACACATTTTGATGCTTGTATATCATCTCAATATTTTTTAATTTTTTTAAAAAAAATATTCTTTGTATTTCAGGCATGTGACACAGGCAGACCTCAAGAGCTCCACCTTTTGGCTTCGAGCAAGTTTTGGTGCTACAGTCTTTGCTGTTTTGGGCTTCGCCATGTACAGAGCACTATTAAAACAGCGGTGATCTGGAGGAAAGCATGTTTTTTTGGGGGGAGGGGCTTATTCAAAGTGAGGGGGGAATCTTTTATGTACATTCTAAAATCCGCTAGAAATATTTATATACGCAAAGTACTTTATTATTTGTAATTCATGGATAAGATTATTTTAAATAATAGTTCTAAACTTGCAGTATTGCATAGGGTGTGGAAAAGAGGATTTGCATTACAATGGCTACTCTTGGCTACACTTGTAAAAGCCAAAAGGGAATTATTGTAAAATAATTTGTGTATATATATATATATATATATATATATATATATATATATATATATATATATATATATATATGTAGTCTTTGGTTCGGGTTTTCTCCCGCGTAAAATTGGAAGTGTCTTGGCGACGTTTCGACGAAGTCCCATTCGTCATCTTCAGGCTGGTGTTTTCAGCTTCGTGCTTTGAGCAGCAATGTGTGGTCTTAGCTGTTTCTTCCTTTTAACTGCCAGTGGGGGTATGAACTGATTGGGTGGGAGCTTGGCTGTGTTCTGATAAAACAGAACACAGCCAAGCTCCCACCCAATCAGTTCATACCCCCACTGGCAGTTAAAAGGAAGAAACAGCTAAGACCACACATTGCTGCTCGAAGCACGAAGCTGAAAACACCAGCCTGAAGATGACGAATGGGACTTCGTCGAAACGTCGCCAAGACACTTCCAATTTTACGCGGGAGAAAACCCGAACAACCAAAGACCTACATACAAATACCCGCGAAAACCTCAGAATATATATATATATATATATATATATATATATATATATATATATATATATATATATATATATATATATATATACATACACACACATACACATACATACACATATATACATATATATATATATATATATATATATATATTCAGGCAGGGAGGCCTAATGTCCCCAGAGGTTATTAGAAATTCCATTCGTAAATGTTTCAAAAAGAGCGAAAGAATTGCAAGTAGACTTTTGTTTTTGGCAGTATAAGTTCAGAATCAGCATTTGTGTGTTTATTTATTTCACTGGTATTGGAAGTTCTTCCTGGATATACCAGGTTTGAGGACTGATTTTTTTTTTATAAAAAAAAATCCCTTTAATAACTCAACTTCTCCTGTAGCCCCTGCTCATATGTTACAGGAGTGTCTCTTCTGTGGCAGATTTGATTGGGCTTGAGCTGATTAATCCTCGTGCAGCTAAATGTACCTCAGTTCAAGAAAAGAGAGAGAAGGACGTATTCCCTTGGTTAAATGAAAAGGAAGTATCATCCATGAAACACATCATTATCTGACACCATGTGCCATTCTGTGCATCACTCATCTTCCACTTGACGTTTTATAGCCTTTTCCAGTCCCACGGGCAATGTATTATAAATTGTTTATAATTCACCAGAAGTCTGTGTTTCATTCCCTTAGTTTCGAAAGTCATTCCCTGACTGTTCTGTTCAGGGGTAGAACTGAAGTAGAAACACCCCGTGCTTTACCCTTCTTGGTCGTAAATTAATTGCATGGTTTGTACTGCATCTTGTATGTGGCTGGAATGACCTGTAGGTGACATTTTTAAATCTACCAAGAAGGTTTACTAAATGGAAGTTCAACCTATTTTTCCCATCACTGGCCTTTTCTGGTATTTCAATAAATAACTGTACCGTGCTATGTTTTGAATGCTTTTTCTTGTAGTATTCATCTATTTGTCCTTGATTCCCAGCCTAGAACTATTTTACTTCTTGATTTAGATTCCGGCTCAGTTATCAATGTCAGTAGGAGAACCTTAGCTAGCCACTTTCCATACTTCAAATGGATGTCAGCTTAAAAAGGGAAGTTTTAAAAAAAAACCCTGAAAGAGAGGAAGAGAAGAGATACTTCGACAAGGTAGGATAAGCAACAACAAAGTGTCCTTACAGAATTTCTATTGAAGAAACTACGCAAACTAAAGATGAAGTTTTGGTCACAATGTGTCAGTTGTAAAATTCAGTTAGAAAAGCAGAGTGAGTGATTAGCACTGTATGACATTTGGAACTTAACAAGAACCCCATTGAAATAGGCCATCGGGTCATCGGCATTCTGTGCCCTAAGGTGGCCTTCCAGAACATGGGTACAAAGAAAGACCTGCTCAAATGAAGAAGAGTGAGGAAGACTCTATTGATTGTGTCCCATAGGCAAGAATAAAAAGACCCTGATGCAGGTGGAAAAAGGCATAAAACAAGTTAAAACTATAAAGTTCTGTTCTTACTCTGTGTGTCTCTGTGTTAACAAATGCTTTCTTCCATCATCTAGCCAACTATTGTCTACTTCACGGATGATAGCAGGTATCGTTATCTTTGTAATAGTAGAGTCTGATCCGGATTTTACCACCTGTGTTTTTTAATTTGAGATACTGAAGATGGTGTTTAGTATTAGGTGGCATTTATTTATTGATCAACTGAACATCTCAGGCTCAAGTAAAATTCAGAGTGAGGGTCATTCAATTCCCTAGTAAACCTGCTACATGTATTCTTTGAGGATTTTACTGATTGCTTTTTCACAGAATGCTTCTATATTCACCTCAGTTGCTATGTTACAAAGGGCAAAATCCAGCATTGTGCAACCAGCCTTCTGCTCTCATGACATGATGTTGTCTTTCTCTTTCCTTCTTCCATTTCACTTGGCTCCATAGCGTCTCCCACCTTCGAACATTTATAAGGTTCAGAAAATCAGAAGCTGTTTTGTTAATGGAAAACCAGCATTAGAACCATCTCTCTTGGTCCCCTTCCATTACTTAGAGGCAATCTGCATTCTGTATTACATCACTGTTTCCATGGAAATATTCTTTAGTATGTATGTTTGTCCATGAAAGGGATAAGAGAAGAATATTGTCCCAAATAATGTGACAATTCAAAAGTGGAGGCTTGGTTTAGGAAATCTTGCTAAATATCTTTTTTGGGGAATCTGGGAGAAGGACAGCTGTCTTTAGAGAGATATGAATCCTTTTCCAATCACATTTTCTCTTTTTTTTAAAAAAAAAAAACCAGCTATCATCTTGCACCTCTGCTTAACACATTTCTACTACCCCATATGCTTCATGCTACCTGATTTTACTTTCAGCAAGAAATAAG